GGTGAAGGAAAATGGTTATGTCCAGAGCCCACTATCCTTTGGCTTTGCTGACAGTCCACTTGAAAAGAGAGAAGGCACAGCCCAGCCCTGAAGCTTTAGAAGTCATTTACTTTGACTCCTTCTTGCATTGGGGACACTGCTTGAAGGTTTCCAGAATGTCATTACTTAATGGAAACTATGGGGTTGTCTCCTCCTGGTGGGATGTGGTTGGCTCCACCCCCTGGCGGCCTGCGTTCTTGTAGCTGAGTGCCACTGCCCTAGAGCCCGGCTGTCTCCTTCGGGGTGGGGTGGCTCCTGTCCCTTCCCTGCCGGAACTCACCTGGCACAGGCTTGGCTGTGTCATTTACGAGCTTCTTTCTGGGAGAGAGCTAAGAGGAGAAACCAGACTGCACGTCAGTCTTTATCCTCACTTAATTCCCCCCTTCATGATGGGGCCACAGTTAACATTCATCCCCTGTGCTCCTCTGGACATATTGGTCCTGCTGCATAGAAACCGTCCCCCAGCCAACTCCACGTGTTCTTTTTTTTTTTTTTTAATTTATTCTCCAGGTGTTCTTAAACCCCTCTGACATGTTTCCATCTCTGTGTGCTGCCCCTCTGTCCGTGCTTGTGTCCCACACTTAGCATATCCTGTGTCTCTCTGTACCGTGCTTGTGGCCACCAGACGAAAGGCTCCTGGCCAGCTGGTGTGTTGCCTGTGTCATTTGTCCTTCTGTCTTCCCCGTGTTGGCCCAAAACTCCAGTTTCTATTGCTGCCCAATAAATGGTTACTTCAATTCACTTACTTGTGGAGGGCTTCGAGGGATCACTGCATAGTCTCTGCCGTCTTGAGGATGCCTCTCCATCCTCACTCCCTCTTCCAGCAGTTTCCTGCAAATTTTCCTAGCCTACTGGCTTCCCTGGGCTTCCCTAGTAGCTCAGCTGGTAAAGAATCCACCTGCAACGCAGGAGACCCCCAGTTCAGTTCCTGGGTCGGGAAGATCCGCTGGAGAAGGGAGAGGGTCCCCACTCCAGTGCTCTCGGGCTTCCCTGCTGGCTCAGCCGGTAGAGAACCCACCTGCAGTGCCAGAGACCTGAGTCTGATCCCTGGGTTGGGAAGAGCCCCTGGAGAAGGGAACATCTACCCACTCCAGTATTCTGGCCTGGAGAACTCCATGGACTGTATAGTCCATGGGGTCGCAAAGAGTCGGACACGACTGGGCGGCTTTGACCTTCACTGGCTTCCCCACCTGGAACCTGAAGCAGGTCTTGCCTGGCTCCCTCTGAATGGGACCACAGGGCAAGGCCAAGTTGCCCTCACAACTCCCACTTTATTTTTCTCATGTCCTATCTTGATACTTGTATCCTTTACTATGTTGTTGTTTTCTAATTAGTTTACTGTTTTGTTTCTAGTACCTTTATTTTGAAAGAAAACTAAATCAGAAGTCACATATGGATAAACAGTAACATTAGAAACCATGAGAACAAAACAATGTTGTTAAATTTCATCCAGAAAATAGTATTATTGTCTGCTGACACCTCTAAGTACAACCTTTAACACTGGTACAAACAGGGGCTTTCCTTAGCAATGCTGGGGTGAGAATAATAAGAAATGAAGAGGGGAATTAGATGGCAGCTGCGTAAAGGCAGTCTGCACTCCCCTGCTGCCTTCAGGGACACAGTTCTGTGAACTCCTGGCTGAACTTTGCCATGTCATATTACTTTGCGGGTGGCTGTAAGACCCAGCTTCTGTGAGATTGAAGTCCCACTCTTTTATCAACTAAACCTCAGAACTAGAGAAATGTCTTCTCTCGTCCTTGTCACTCACTTCAGGAGTGAAGGCATGCATTTTGTGTGCGAGGTTCCACACACAGCCAAACGCAGCTTCCAGGGTGCCGCCACCCTCTCTCACACCCTTAGGCTGCCCTCCACACTGTGCTTCACCTGAGGTCAGCAGTGACGTGCTCTCAGCCAGATTCCTCCCTTCCTCCTGCAAGACACTCAGTGTTGAGTGATTCAGCCTAACCCCTTGTCCTCTCTTCCCCTCTGTTCTCTGAGCACTCTTGCCGATGAGTACACACCTCATCCCACCCAGCTTTTGGATGCTTCCCCTCCCTGAATCAGTCTGTGGCCTCCTTCCTCCTTTCACTGGGGTGTGTTTACTCAACTCAGGGCTCCAGGGTCCACCCCCTCCTCTCCAGGCTCCCAGCCTGCTGTGCTTTATGTACCCCGCTCACATTAGGAGCACCTCAATCCCCACTGTCCCACCACAGCTTACTGCATGACGCATTTTCAGGACCACAGGGCCCTTAGTTCTGGCCATACTTGTACCGGAAGTACCCTTGGTGGAGAAAGGAAAAGTGCCTTGTACCCTCAGAGCCTGAAGCAGACCTGTCCTGTCCCGTAGTTGTGCTCCTGAGAGCTTGTGCTATTGCACTGTTCACTGGCCTGCCATCAGATTGAGTTCCTTTGGGAAGTGCCGCTTCGTGGCCCAGCTCCTAGCACATGGCTATCACGGCTTGGAGGGTGCTTCCCACAGGCTGCTGGCCCATCAGTTTCCCTCACACTTTTATGCCGGACACTTCTCTGGTTTTAACTCTGGGTGTCCCTTCTCCATCTCCAGCACTGTGTGTGCAGGAGAGACACCAGGAATCAGTTTTGCACCTGCAAAACCCCTTTTCCTGTAAGCGTTGTTAGAACTGGGTTGATATTCTCCTTGTATAAAACTTAGAGGTTGCCATAGGCGCTGTCCCTTCCCTCTTGGGTCTTGGGAGTTACCTGGAGGGCATAAACCTTAAAGTCTTACTAGCCTATTGGAAGCAGTTGGACATTATTGAATAGTTTCATGACCACCTCTAGACACCTAACTGGCACTGCTGTAACACAGCCTTCCTCTAGCATTGACAGTATTGACCTTTCTTGTGAGCTAAATGATTAATGACTTATTTAGGGTGGTGGATTTTTTTGTTTGTTTGTTTTGAGTGATTGGTATTCCATCTCAGAACAGGCAAATGGTGCTGTTAAGTTTTATATCTATAATATGGTGAAAGGGGGTAGAGAACAATCCTTCCTTTCAAAGCAAACAAGGATTCAGATCGCTAGGATCCAGTCTGCCATGGGATGGCCATGGGCTCCCCACGTCGTTTCCTACCCTCACATCAGCCTTTTCTTTGGAGCAGCGCTCTCTTCTTGGGTTCTCTAGCCACTTGATAGCTAGGCCTGTAGTCAGCCAGAGCACCCTGGAAGGAAAGCGGTCTCCCTGTCGGCTTTGTCAGGCCTCAGACCAAGAGGTTCAGCTCTCCACCACCTGCCGTGGCAGATTTCACTACTGAGTTGCTTTTATGTAGCGAGTTCTTACCTTGTGCATTTAAAATTCAGTAATTTGCCAGTCCTTCCTTGGAAGGACTGATGCTGAAGCTAAAGCTGCAATACTTTGGCCACCTGATGTGAAAAGCTGACTCATTGGAAAATACCTTCATGCTGGGAAAGATTGAAGGCAAAATGAGAAGGGGGCAGCAGAGGATGAGATAGTTAGGTAGCATCACCGACTTGGTGAACTTGAATTTGAGCAACTTCTGGGAGATAGTGAAGGACAGAGGAGCCTGGCTTGCTGTAGTCTGTGGGGTCTCAAAGAGTCAGACATGACTTAGCAACAGAACAACAACAGTAACGTTTTGCCAGAACTGCATTTGTGGAAACCATTGTGAAAGCCTTGTTTTAAATTACACTTGGACTGAACCAGAATGCCTAGTATGTGCTGAGTGTCTTCCAGAAAGAAAGCTGGGACAGAGCCAGCCAGCTTGCCCCATTTTTTCTTGTCCCCTCTGCCTATCAGAGTCCTCCTATAGTCCCTCTTTCCTTAAGCCTTTGCCTGAGTTTCTCAGCTATGGAGGTTTTCTTGCCCTCACCAAACTGCTGGGTTTATTACTGGAATTTCTCATTACATGCAGGCAGCTCCTGCCTCACTTTCTGATTGTTCCTTCTTGGCAGTAGTAAAGTGTCAGAAAAGTAGTGCACAGAGAATGCAAATGATCAGTATGCTTTTAAACAGATGTTTCTTCTCACTAAAAGAGTGAAGAGTAAGGGGTGGGTTAGTGTGTTTTCTGAGGGGCAGTTTGGTATTAGGAACATGAACCCACTGCCCTATGGTTGTCCTGTTACTATAACTGGACAGATGCACAAAGTCACCATTGCAGGGATGCCCATAGTATGACTTGAAGCAGGGGTTGTCGAGGGCAGTTCATGGACACAGTGCTAATAAGGCATTGTTTGGGGGGAGGGGGGGTCACATGTGCTGTCCCCCACCCCAAGCCCCCAAAGAATCACAGGAAGTGCCCCTCTATCCCTTTATAAACAAACTTTGAAAAGCTGGTTAATAAAACAGTAGGTCAAGTATGGATGCATTTTTATGTTACCAGCAGTTACTATGTGGTATTCTTTAATCTGCAAGCATACATTATTTAAGTTACCAAGAAAATATTTTTCGTAAGTGTGAGCGCTTAGCAGAGGATTGCATGGGCTAAAAAGGAACAGGCAGTCTGGCCTTCCTGCTTGGCCCCCAGTCACCAAGTGGAATTACTGATGTGGCTAGATGTTTCATGAGCTGCAAATACAAACAAGAATTTTAATGAAGAGATAATTTGAGGCTTGCAAATCATCCTCTCTCACACACAGTGTCCACTGAAAACTCAAGAGGTGAAAACTTGGTTTGTTGTTTATTGTATCCACCCTCCCGTGAACTCCGTAGCTCCCCCAGCCCCTTTCAGCACCTGGCTGACTCTAGACTCCATGGCCTGGCCCGCACAGTTGGTTCCTGGTCTCTCTTCCCTACTGGATGATGAATCTTTGAGGGGAGCAGACAGTGGGGCCTTTTCAGTCAGTGCCTGGAGTCTCTCTCCAGCCAACCCAGTCGGTCTTCATCAAAGGGGCTCCACCTTTGGAGGCCACAGCCCAGGGGGCTGTGTCACTGTGAATGGCTCCCCTATGCTCCCTCGTCTGTGACAGTGGCTTTTCCTTTGTAGATTGCCCGGTGAAGAATGTGATGGGATCAGTAGCATGTCTGCGGAGAGCGGCCCTGGGACGAGATTGAGAAATCTGCCAGTAATGGGGGATGGACTAGAGACTACCCAGATGTCTACAACGCAGGCCCAGGCCCAACCCCAGCAAGCCAACACAGCCAGCACCAACCCCCCTCCCCCGGAGACTTCCAACCCCAACAAGCCCAAGAGGCAGACCAACCAACTGCAATATCTGCTCAAAGTGGTGCTCAAGACACTATGGAAACACCAGTTTGCGTGGCCTTTCCAGCAGCCTGTGGATGCCGTCAAGCTAAACCTCCCTGTGAGTAACCTGGGCAGGGTCCAGGGCTCCTGTCCTCCAGGTCTCCTCCCATGTTGCTCCTGTGAGGGTGGATTGATGGGAGGGGGGAGTCAAACTCCAGTATGCTTGAGTGAGTGGTTTTAGCAGTCCTGATGAATGGAAGTGGGGAAAGAGGAGAGGTGCTGACTGGATTAAATAGTAACTGACTTCTTTGATATTATGATTCTGGGACATATTGTGTGACGAGGTAGGAATAGAAGTGGAGGGGTGCTTGCAGCTTGCCCTTGCTTCAGGGGAGCTAAAGTGGGGTCACTTGGTGGTCCAGGCCCTCACTCCTCAGACTTGGTTGGCCAGACTGACCCAGTAGGTTCAGCAGACATGGTTGGTCAAATTCTGAGAGGTATTGGCAGGCTGCAGTACCTGTTCTGCTACTGGCATCCTCGTTGTCACTCGGAGCATGGGATGGGGAAAGGTAGCAAAATGGAGCCAGGTACACGGAGGTGGCCTGGATTGGAGGGGGGGTTGTGTTGTGGCCATGCTACACCTGCTGTTGTTCTTTTAAAAGTGCGCCTGTTCCTCTCCTTTTTCCTTTGTGAGCTTTCTCTTTGCCCACATTCCTAGCAAATATCTCTGGAAACTCACCCTCTGCCTTTAACTGAACCTTGGGGAGGAAACAGGATAAACGTGTTAATTTTTTCTGTCTTCAAAGCATCAAGGACTAATTGTCTTTAAATTGTCTTCCGCTCTTTGCCAAATCCCACACACACCTGGGCAAGGTAGTTGCAATTAGATGATTGTTGCAGCTGACCCAGATGTTAGTCTGCGAGTCAGAGCTGCACTGCTGTGGACCCCAGCCTCTGCCCAGCACCTGGTTTCAAGGAAGAGGGACCCATCAGTGCCACCTTCCTTGCTTGACCGTTGCTGTGTCTCTGACAGCTGTCTAGTACCGTCTGTCCATTGAACACCCATCGTATGCACTCAGGAGGAGGGTCAGGTGGGGCGCTGCAGGCCTGGGTCATGAACTGGCGGAGCAAAGCGAGTGGGAACAAAAGAAGAGTCCTCATGGAATCTGGGCTCCAAAGGTCAATCTCCTCATTGAGCACAACCAGGAGTAGAGGCCGTGAGCCCCATCACTGAAAGGAGGCTCTTGGGAGAGCTTGTGGTACTAGCTTCTAGCTAGACTGAGGGCTGGGGTGTGCAGGATCCACAGGTGAGGTGACCTTCCTAGAGCACATGCAAAGAGTGGGGAGAGAAGGCGCTGCGGTTGGAGTCCAAGGGGGCCGACGGCTTTTATAGCACTGGAGGGAGCAGGAGGCTAGGAGGATCACCGGCAGAGAGCAGCCCCCCCAAGTATCCACATCAGAGACTACGGGAAGGTCAGAGAGCTGAGGGTTCCACCCTGACCCTCCATTGGCCTTTAGGAGGGCATTGGTGACCTTAGGAAGATGTGGCGCAGTAGAAACCAGATTTGCACTGGTGTGAATAGGAAGGTGAGGATGTGAAGCCTCCGTTTCAAGAAATTTGACTTTGAAGGGAAAGCGTGGCACGGCCAGGTGGAGGAGGGAGGGTTTGGTTTGTTCAGGTAAATGCAGAGGGAGCAGAGGCACAGAAAGCTAAGAGGGTGAAGACTGAGGAGAAAGGGAGTCAGTGGACCAGAGATGCGGAGAAGGCAGCATGCCTGCCAGTGGGACAGACAAGGGTGTGTGTGGGCTGTCAGGCTAAGGGGTTGGGAGTTTGAGGTCATTCTCTGAAGTGGAGGCCAGGCGCCCCTGGGGTCCCAGTGTGACTTGGTGTCACCCTCAGCAGCTCCAGTGGAGGAAGAGGAGGCTGGGGGGTGGTGGCACTGATCTGGTGTCTTCACAGAGGTGGCTGAGCTAGGGGCTAACCCAGAGGGCTGGGGCAGGGCTCTTTGCCTGGGGACAGTGTCATACTGAAGCCCAGTTTTCCAGGGACAGCCCCCTCCCCAGGAAATGGGAATAGGGCAATCCCAGACAAGAGTTTGTTCTTTTTCTGTTTTCTGATCCCTTCCAGATCTTTCCAAGTCTCGTCCTCTGGTCCCCTCAGGACTTAGCAGAATGCCTGTTTCTGTCCCTGGGCACACAGGTGCAGATGGTCGTCTTGCCCCTTACGCCCCTGCCTCCCTTTCAGCACCCCCGCGCTCACCCTTGCCTGTTGGCAGCTCTCCTCCTCCTCCCTCTCTGTCCTCAGCGTCTGTCCTGTTGGGCCTCACAGTGCTTTCCACACACCAGGGCCCGCTTCAAGCACCTGGCACCAGTCTCAAGTGGTGACACTGCGGTCCTTGGCCATGGAATAGATTCTGAATTTCCCCCAGGGCATTTATATTTGGACTTGGTTCTCTCAGGAAAGGTGGTCAGAGCAAATACAGTGTAGAAAATCTCTTTCAGTCCCTTGAGGCTTACTTGCCAGGGTACCTAGGCCTGGGGCAGGGGTGTGAGCTGTGTCAGCTCTCAGGTGTATGCCAGCGACTTCTGTTCCTTTCTCGGGGGCGTCAGAGCAACTCAGAACCTCACACCCTTCACTCACTTTTTCAGCACTGCCCGCCTCTGTTCCTGGGCAGGACCTCTGTGCTTGCCAAAGCACGGACTTGCCCCGCTGCCATCAGGCTGCCCCAGGACGTGACACGGTTCTGATACTTCACCTGGGCCTGATTGTGGGGGCCTCAGAGAGAGTGGCCCTCGGTGGGGCTGGCTGGCTGTGTACAACTGCGCCTTCTTGCCTGCCCCTCTGTGGCCCTTCCTCCTGGAACCCAGGCACTGTCTGATCTGTCCCCAAATCCTCCTGTGTTTGGTTTTTAAAAGGAGCATTTGCTTTTAAGATAGGTTTCGATTTGGGGAAAGGGATGATGGTAGAAGAGAGTTTGATTGGAAGGGCTCTCGCCACATCTGCACCTGCTGTCTGACGTCTTCTGTTCAGCACTTGTACAGTAAGATCCAGAGGTTTGAGGAGTGGGTCTGCTGGAATTTTGAGTTTTGGTTTTTTGTTTTTTTTAAAACTAAGAATTGTGAGGACTCCATTTGATTCCTCATCTGGCACTTAACCTGGTTTGTTGTTGAACTGTATGTATCCAGATACTAGTGGATCCTTAGTGATAGACTGTATGTAGATGAAAGGAATGGAAGTGAAATGAACTGAAAATAGAGGCTTTTGCTTCATGGTACTTCAGTGTGACAGGAAGCAAGGGGTCCAGTTTGTTTTGGTGGGCTGGAAAGTATTTTAGGATGTGGATAATTTCACATGGTAGGGAGAAGGTAGAAACTACCATGGGTTATTTTACCAGATGATAACCACTTTTTTAAAGGTTGAGCAACTTTCCCTGTTACTTATTCTGAATTGCCACTCAGCTTTTAGCAACTCTTCTGTGAACCACTTTATCTTGGAGTCCACCCATGAGATGGCTCACTGAGGCGGTGGAAGAGCTTAGGTCTGCGTGTCTGTGGTGAGACGTGGGGTGAGAGCCACACCCCACTGGTGAGTGCTGCCTGGTTGCGGAGGTGACGTTGACCTTTCGCTCTCTCTGCTCTCCAGGATTACTATAAGATCATTAAAACACCTATGGATATGGGAACAATAAAGAAGCGCTTGGAAAACAACTATTACTGGAATGCTCAGGAATGTATCCAGGACTTCAACACTATGTTTACAAATTGTTACATCTACAACAAGGTGAGATTTGGGGGCCGGTGGAGAAGCAGAAGGCAGAGGAGGTGTGGTGGTGGGCGTGTCTGAACCCATGGGCAGGGGCGCTGGGTGCAGCTGGGATTGCAATCTGAGCAGAGGAGACCACTGGTGGCAGAGGTAAATGGGACCGTTGGTTTTGTGTGTGATCTGGGTATGTGTCTTTTGAGGCCAATAACCTTTTGGTTATGTTTCCAAGCCGTCCTTGTTAGCTGAAAGCATGTACTTCTGATGCCCTTGGGACTTTGGTTCTTGAGCATGTCTAGTAGAGAAGATGTGAAAAGGACAGTCGAGAATCACTATGACTCAAATTGTCAGGAAGGAACCTACTAAAATGTAGAGAAAAATGTAAAGAAAGTGAAAGCTGCTCAGTCGTGTCCGACTCTTTGCGACCCCATGGACTGTACAGTCCATGAAATTGTCCACACCAATATACTGGTGTGGGTAGCCATTCAGTTCTCCAGGGCATGTTCCCAACCCAGGGATTAAACAAAACAGATCTCCTACATTGCAGGTGGATTCTTTACCAGCTGAGCCACCAGGGAAACCCAGTTGTAAAGAAAGATGTGCTCAAACAGAAACCTAAATGTGAGAGAGGGTACAGTGTGGGGCCTGCTGCATCTGCAACTGTGGACATGACCATCAATAATAGCTTGTGGCTGTAGAATCAAGTATCCCCTTTTAGGGTCTTACATGTAGGCCTAAAGATCACGTCTTAACCCAGTAGCCAAGCCATTCATCTTGGCTATGCCGTGAAGCCAGATCATTTGTTTAAAGTCTCAGTTGTCATCGCTAGGTTTAAGGGAAATATGTACAGGTAGGATTCTCCATTTAGAGCTGAGTGGGTTGAGGGATGTTACAGGTGAGGTGGCAGAGTGGGACCCATAAGGCAGTGAAGAATGGGCATTTCCCCAAGCTTCAGTGAGCTGCTTTGGCAATACCCTGGGGAACATTATTGGAGCCCTGCTCCTATATCCTGTGTAATCCAAGTAATTCTGGTGAAATTGCATTGTGTCAAGGGAGGGACCCCTGTTTGTGGTTGGCAGTGCTTGATAGATACTGAAGGCATTAGGATGGTTTCTCGGGCCAGAAGTTAAAAGGCTGGAGAGGCAGCAGACTTGCAGGTCTGTGAATCCTCCGCAGTGCCAGGTAGCATAGCTGTGTTGTAGCCCTTTGGAGTTCAGATTGGAGGACTCCGAATACGACGCTCCACACTTTGGGACCTAGGATGGGGAGCTCTTGTTCTGTCTAGAAAGGTGGGGAGGGCTTTCCAACCCTCACTGTGTGTGTCTCCTCTTTTAGCCTGGAGATGACATAGTCTTAATGGCAGAAGCTCTGGAGAAGCTTTTCTTGCAAAAAATCAACGAACTGCCCACTGAAGAAACCGAGATTGTGATAGTCCAGGCGAAAGGACGAGGACGCGGGAGGAAAGAAGCAGGTAGGGCGCCCACAGCGGCTCCACCGTGCGGCAGCGCCTCCCTAGTCAGCCAGCCTCCCCCAGGGCTCCTGGGGGCTAGAGTGGAGGGGAGACGGCTGTGTTACACGCCCCCTGTGTTGGTGCTGTTTGGGGTACGGTGGAGCCAGCGCAGAGGGTCGTACGACCCTCCAGCACAGTAGAAAACATTGGGCCGTGCTGTCTCGATGGACTTCATTTGAAAAGAAAGTGTGGCTTTTTTTTTTTTTTTTTTTTTTTAAAGTTATTTTGAAATTATTTGAGTTCTTCATCCCACCAGTGCCATAGATCGTCTTTTTCATTTTGGATAAAATTGATTTGATCAGGGGTAGTCTTAGTCCTAACTAATTCTAGAGCCTTAAGGTTTGTCACTTGGGTTATCTTAATCCACTTGTGTCAAAGTCATACCTGCTAACTGCATAGTCTTCTGAAGTCAAACTCTCTCTGTCTTAGCTCCCACCCCACCCCTGCCCCCCAACTTGACACACCATTCTGAAGGCCAGTTGGTAGGGAGTAGCCTACTCGTGAAATATTTCTGTCCAAGAAGTTTTCACAGCTGCCTTCTGCATCTTGCCATCTGCAGCACCCAAGTTGCAGAAAGATGATGCTTGCAAGGTGGCCTGTGCTGTGAGTTTGCTTCTTTAAGGCGCAAGCTTTCACCTGACTTCCTATCTTGCGTGGAAGGGATATTTTTATGGGAGTGAAGGGGATTGGCTATCTCCCCTGCAGTGCTGAGGGGTAGCCAAGGAGAGCTGGTCTTGAGGGTCACCCCTTAGCTGTGGAACCTGCCCACGGGTGTCCAGTATACTCAGAACCAAGGAGCCCATCCTCCCTGCTGGGAGGGGTTTGGGCTTCACCTGGGTAGCTGTGGGGCCTTGTGTGTTTGGGCTCACCCACACTGCTGCAAGGAGGCTGTGTGAGCCAGTCCTGAAGGGCAGCAGCTGTCCAGCCTGCCCCTGTGATTCAGAGGGATGGGGGGCTGCCAGTTTCCAGAAACCTTGGCTCAGGCTGCCGATCCCGGGCTCTTGCCAGAAATGCTTACTCAGAAGGCAGTGTTTCTGGGAATGAGGACAGCTCTGCCTGTAAGTGCCAAGGAATATTTTTTTGCTATCACTGTCCTAGTGGTAAGTCTCAGTGTGAGTTTCCTGTTCCTTTGGCTCAAGCCTTCGTGCTCCTGAAGGGGTCTTTGTGCCTGAGTAAGGACTTGGAGCCAGGACACCCCAGGAAGTGTGGAATGTGGTGTGCCGCTGCTCTTGGAGCCTCCTGGGACAGGTGGACAAATCTGTCTGAGGGCCAGGGCATTCGGGCTGTTCCGTCTCTTAGACAAATCCCTCTGGTGACTCTGTGTGCCATGCCCATGGCACTGTGTGCTCACCATGTGTGGCCGTGTCCCCACAAGGTCAGCCAGCATGCATGCCTGGCATCTCACCCCTGTCGCTTTTATGGTTGATAGGGACAGCAAAGCCTGGCGTCTCTGCGGTACCGAACACGACGCAAGCGGCAACTCCTCCGCAAACCCAGACCCCTCAGCAGAATCCTCCACCTGTGCAGGCCACACCTCACCCCTTCCCTGCCGTCACCCCAGACCTCATCGTCCAGGCCCCTGTCATGACCGTGGTACCGGCCCAGCCGCTGCAGACGCCCCCGCCAGTGCCCCCCCAGCCACTGCCCCCCCCTGCACCAGCCCCCCAGCCCGTGCAGAGCCACCCGCCCATCATTGCAGCCACCCCGCAGCCTGTGAAGGTGAGTGTCCTGTGCGTGTGTGGCCCAGCCTGGCCACTTTGTAGCTCCGCTACGTCAGAAGGGAGGAGAAGAACCCCCTTCCCACTTCCCCAGTTGCAGTGAGGCTTATAGGAGACAGTCACCCATCCTTGCCAGTGCTTCTGGCTCCCAGGGCACTTGTGGGTATTTCGAGGGGGCATCAAGCTGTGTTTAAATCAGCACAGCCTGAAAGCTGCTGACCCAGAGATTCCGTAATTGAGTAACACCTCCCAGGTGGTTGCTGCCCCCTTCCCAGTTCTAATTTAGACTGTGTGTTTGCAGTTCCTGTCTAAATAGTCTCTGAAATGTGCCTTCCGTGGGTGGCCAGTGACAGGGGTGGGCTCGGGAGAGGTCCCTGGCCTGTAGGAAATTGCTTTCAGAAGTCTCTTTGGCCTCTGGTGAGCAGATCCCACACTCGGTTATGTGCTTTCTCCTGCCACTGGCTGGGTCCTGTCCCAGCTCCAGAACAGAGTGGTGGGACAGGGCCTCCCTGTTTTCAGTCCTTCACCTGTGGGATTACCTTTGGGCTCTGTTCACTGTGAGAATTGAGACCCTAGAAAGAAATTGGCTTCAGGAGTGACCCAGAGGGCCCACTGTGCCAGCCGCTGCCTCTGATCATGCCTGTCGCGCCTGTGCTCTTGACAGACAAAGAAGGGGGTTAAGAGGAAAGCGGATACCACCACCCCTACCACCATCGACCCCATTCATGAGCCGCCCTCACTGCCCCCGGAGCCCAAGACCGCCAAGCTGGGCCCCCGGCGGGAGAGCAGCCGGCCTGTTAAACCCCCGAAGAAGGATGTGCCTGACTCGCAGCAGCACCCGGCGCCAGATAAGAGCAGCAAGGTCTCAGAGCAGCTCAAGTGCTGTAGTGGCATCCTTAAGGAGATGTTCGCCAAGAAGCACGCTGCTTACGCCTGGCCCTTCTACAAGCCCGTGGACGTGGAGGCGCTGGGCCTGCATGACTACTGTGACATCATCAAGCACCCCATGGACATGAGCACAATCAAGGTGAGTGGATGTGTCCCTGAAGCTGGGGAAGGGACCCCTTAGAACCGGAAAGTCCAGCACCTCTGAGGCCTGTCCAGGAGGAGGAGGGAGGACCCAGTCTCAGGAGCTGTCTAGATCTCCTCACCAACCCAAAGCAGCCCAGCGCCCCCTGCTGGGCATTGTGGAGGGTGCAGCGTCTGAGATCGTGGGAGCATGTTGGTCATGGACAGCAGTGCTGCCCCTTCCCTCATCTGAGGACTAGCCCTCTGTGGTCTTGAGGCCCAGTGCCCGTAGACATCTTCACGTGGTAGGTGCTCCAATAGGGTGTGGAGAGTGGTGACTTTGACAGGCTCTTAAGAGGTATATGAGTGCTGGCATTTTAAATATATGTATATATATATACACACACACACACACACATATATATTTTTTTTTTCCTTTGGGTGTGCTGGGTCTTAGTTGCAGCATGTGGAATCTTTAGTTGCAGCATGCAGGAGCTAGTTATTGACCAGGGGTTGAACCAGGGCTCCCTACTTTGGGAGCTCTGAATCTGAGCCACTAGACCACCAGGGAAATCCCAAGTGCTGGCATTTTCTTGGCATTTTTGGTTTTGTTTATTTTAAGCCTTTGGCATTTTTTCCATGTGGGAGTGGAGTAAACCTGTCCAAACTTGGGCAGAGCAGAGGACATTGCTGTGTTCCTTTTGATTGGTGTCCTGTCCAACGTCAACAAAACAACACAGGCCAGGTCAGAACTAGGCCCAGCCCTCTCTTTACAGTTGTAGCTTAAGCTTTGTGTGGATCGTGTGTGCTCATGCCAGGCACAGTGGGTTAGACGCTAGCAGGGCATTTCCTGGCCTTGAGACTTATTGTTAGAGTATCTCTGTGTCTACCTGATGCTGAGAACTGAGGTAATAACTTCTCCCCACTGAGGTCTGGGTTAAACTCCGAGCCACTGAGAAGTTGACCTGCTCCTGCAGACAGCCCTTCTTGGAGCAGGGGCATCCGTGACTAACCAGGACCCGTCTTGTCTTTTTAGTCTAAACTGGAGGCCCGTGAGTACCGTGATGCTCAGGAGTTTGGTGCCGACGTCCGATTGATGTTCTCTAACTGCTACAAGTACAACCCTCCTGACCATGAGGTGGTGGCCATGGCCCGCAAGCTCCAGGTGAGGCTCTGGGGCAGCTCCGGGTATGGCGTCCTGCCGCAGGGCAGGCTGGGGTCCTGGGTGGGCCAGGCCTCTGTGGGCCTCAGCAGGTTTTACTTGTCGCTTGCTTTGGTATAATGCCATGTTGCTTTGGAAGAGTGGACTAAAGTCAGGTTAACAGGTTTATTTTACATTGGGATTATTGTCTTTTGATTAAAGTAGGGTGGTTGGTTTTGGTCTTGGGCATTTTGGGTTTTGGGGTGTTCCACTGAAAGCCCCCCCACCCCCACCCCCTGCATTCGATTCCCCTTGGCTGGAAGAGTGTGCATCCTGTGCATGGCCCAACTCTTCTCCAAAACAGACCCGTCTCAAGTCGGCGAGGGACGCTCTTGCCAGGTAGACACTTTGTCCCAGTTGTGAGCTGAAGTACCTGCTCACTTGCAGGCATTTCTTCACTAGAGCCTTGAAAGCCATGAGGTTTGCCTTCCCGCTGCAGGGCGGCTGCTTCTAGACGTTCTGTGTGGCCGTGGAGCCCCAATGGGGTGGGATTCGTGGCCCCTTCAGGTTGGTTCTGGGTGGTGTACGCTGTGGAGTGCACCCATGGGTGGGAGGGAGGGGGCAGATTACAACATAAATGTGTGAGCTAGCTCCACTTTTCTTTCTTTCTTTTTATTTTTAAAAAGAAACAAGGAACGACATGTGCCCAAATTTCACCAGAGACATATATTTTGAGTAGAAAGAGCAGGAGTTAAAAATTATGGAGAATAAAGTCAACATTTAGTACTGTTACCTGTTTTCATCATTATAATTTTTTGAAATCACACGTAATGAAAATTCCCAGCCTCTTCTCCCCAGGACCCCAGGTTGTGCTTCTGCTTTCAGGGTCAGAGCAGACTGGACCACCCGTTGTCACACGGTCCAAGTCACACATCCTGCGGCAGGCTCTCTCCTGGGGTCTGGGTGGGGCTTCCTCACACCGGGCTTTCTCTGTCAGCTGTGGGATGCTTCCAGAAGCAAGGACTTGCACAAGGCCTTTGGTGACCTTGGGTCACTGTCTGTCGGAGACCACTCAGGCTCTGCTGCCCACCTGTCTCCCAGCTCTGCTAGCTTCACGCATTGTCCCACACTCACCAGCATATTGTCTCCTATGTCATCGTCTTGGAGCTAAGATGTTCTTTCACTTGGGCTCGTCTGGGTCAGCCTTTGGTGTCCTGAAACTCTACGTATTTAAAAAGAAAAGAAAACCTTATTAGTATGAACCTGGTTATTGTTAATTAAACATGCACTCAGACTTGAAGGTTTTTATTTCTGCTGACTGTTTATTATTTTATTTGAGGTTTTTTGTTTTTGGACAGGGCACAGTCTTCAGTTTGGTGCTGTGTTGTCTGCTTTCTTCACAAAGTTGCCTTTTTTATTGTTTACTTCTGCCTTTCCTATAGGAGCTGGTCAGCCTTCATACCTGTGTTGCAATTCTCAGACATCGCCACCAGGTGGCAGCGGTGTCCTCAGAGCCATACAGACACACACACACACACCATTTTTCTTGTTCTGGGAGTGCCATGAGCATGCCCAAACATGGGGTTTACTCATAGCACGGACACCGAGGTGTTTGCCACATGGCAGCTCTTTTCTAAACATTGGTTCCAGATGCAAGGCTGGAATGGGACAAGATCCTTGCCCTGGAGAAGGGCCCACTTGGGGGGGGGGGGGGCAGAGGGCAGTGCCCGGCGGGGCCACTCAGCACAGGGCTGCCTCTGTCCCCGGCTTGCTTTGTCCCTCGCAGGTTGGGTCTCCATGCTACTGAAAGTAAAACGCCCGGTAGGGGGTAGGGATGTCTGCTTCAGCAGAGTCGACGTGGCAGGTCCTGTGTGGTCATCTCTGGAACACAGTTCCTGTGTTTTGTAGTATTTAGAGTTTTGTTTTTCTTCTTTCGAAGTTTTCCAGGATTAGCATGGTTTAGGTGGCTAGATTGCCTACTGGGGAGGAGGAGCAAAAAAATTCTGGCCCTTGTTTGCCTCAGTAAGAGGAGTTGGGACCTGCTGTGCCCGGGGGCTGGGGTTTATCCAGAATGTTTTATGGGAAAGAATCCACTTTATATTTATCGTCCAGCCTCCAAATGCTGGATCTTTAGAAAGCCCACATCCCACCACCTGGCAGCTGTGGTCACAAAGACAGCTAGGAACCCTTGGTCTCAGGGTGTCCTTGGGAACCTGCAGGTGACTTGAGCTGAGGGTTGCTAGCCTAGCTTCTGGGCCCAGAGCTGCTGCTGGTACTGTTCATTGCGCTCTGTTCTGTGAAGGGAGGAGGGGTAATTTAGAAAGTTTTGTGCCTATGTGGATTACCAGAGTTTTATTTTGGCAGAAAGTGCAAATTCATGGTGGTACACAGTTGTTTTACAGCAAGGGAAAAACATTAAACTGAGGAAGGTACACATATATGCAGGGCCCCGATGTACCTCCAGTGTATGTATGGTTGTGTGTGTTCAGATGTGTATCTGAGTGTCCACTCGTGGCTGTGTCTCCAGCACCTGGGGCCAAGTGGGCCTCCACGGCCTGAATTCTGCTTCCCACTTCCGTGCCCCCAGCCCCTGAGCCTGGTATGCCCAGGTATGGCTAAGTCCGAGAGCAGTATGCAGGTGGGGCAAAGAAGGGCTGACCGGACAGCGCCTCCCCTTTGGTCTCCAACTCTGCTCAGCTGGAGGCTGGTTTGCCTGAGAGTCTTCGGACACTGCCGCCTCCTAGCACCTGAGCATCTCTGTCACTAAAGAGGGTGTGGAGCTTCCTCCATGAGTTTGATACTGCCCAGGGTAGATGGCTCTGGTCAGCACTATAGTAAGAAGAGATACTTGCTCTCTGAAACCAGTGTTCTCTCCGATGTTGAGAATTGTGATGTGGCCTAGGTTCTTGGAGTGGGGTGGAGGTCATGTCATGCTAGGCAGAGTAGATGGGTTCACCTCAAGACACTACCGTCCTAGCACAGAAGGCCTGAGCCCTACTCTCATGGTATGTGCTGCTGATGACAGCTCCTTCCTGTCACTCCCCTCTCCTGAGACACTCGCCCTGGGTGTGGCTCATTGGGTTTTCCTGTCTCTTGCCCGACCCCACGCCACTTTGACCTTTCTCTCATTTGTACCGTCCTGTGTGTCTGCAGCTGTTGTTACCCTCTTTTCATTCTTAGGTCTCAGGTTCCCCCACAGTCTCTTTGCCAACTTTTGCTGTTTCTGCCTTAGCACTTAGGACACATTATAACAATCTGTGTTTGCCCCTTGAGGACGAGGAGCACATCATTCTTGTTTACCACAGAGCAGGTGCAGGTCTGACTCGATCACTTGGGAAGGTTTTCTGCAGCAGCGCTTAGCTCACTGGCACACAGGCCCAAGTGTGTTCCTGGGGTGGCCCCCCTAGGGCTGGAACAGACCATGGAATGATAGATGTCCAGCTGGGCACAGCCTCAGAGGCTGGCAGTCCATTTGGCCCCCTGTCCCATGCTTCTTGCTGTTTGGCTTTGGGGCCTTAGTAGGTCAAGGGCCAGAAGCAGCCAGGGAGTGGAAGGAGGCTTCATTTCTACAACAGCCGTAGCCTGTGGGGCAAGAACAGGGGTGCCCTTGTGGTAAGGTAGAGCTGTCTGGCAGCTGGCATGGGGGGCTGATTCGCAGACAAGTGACACCAGGTAGCTTCTGCTTGGTAAAGCATCACCTCTCAGCAGCACCAAGTGCTTGCAGCTGTCCTCTCTTGGGGTCCAGCTGCTCCATCGCCTTCTTAAACACACTTCTCCTAAGTGTGGGCCCAGCTCTTCTAGATGCTTGTGGGGGGCAGTTGTGGGCCTGAGCCTGCCCACATTCAGGGCGCTGTGGGCAGAGATGGTCTTGCCCACAGGGTCTTGCGCCTAGCAGTCTGAACAATGATGATGTCTGGTCATCTCTCCTATTATTCTTCCTTCTTGCCCTTGGATCTGCTCCAGGATTTATTTCTGAATAAATATAGAAAGCCATTGCCCTTCTTAACCTCAAACCCACTCAGCAGAGTTCAGGCAGGCACCTTGTTTGAGAGGAGAAACTGCCTTGGAGGAGGTCAAACTGAGTGATCTGGCGGGGAGGGAACAGTACCACAGTCTGCTGCCCGGATCATGCTTTCCCAACTCTCTGGGCCTGGGGAAACCTGAAGATGTGTTTCCAGAGACATCAAGAGAGTTTCCTAGGTTGTGCCCTGTCAAATACACCCCAGTTTGAAATAGCAGCCTTGGAGTTTGACCCTGTGGCCCTTCTGGGCCCTGCTATTCTCTCAAGCATCTGCTTGTACTTGAGAAAGGTTCCCACCCCCTTCTGTTGTGTGAGTTTCTGTATTAAACTGACTTTCTCTGGGCTTAAAACAGATCTCAAAATCCTGCTGGGAAACCAGCTCTGTTCCTTCCACCACTGTCAGGCCATGTTGGGAGTGCCTTTCACCTCCAAGTGAGATTTGAGAGAGGAGTTTTGGAAGAGCTGTCGGGAGCCCTTGCGCACACCTCAGCTTAGTGGCAGGAAGGGGGTCACTGCCGACCCAGCCCCCTCTGCTCCCTGTTGAGTCAGCCCTCCCAGCCTAAGGGCGTGTGTGGAGCCACAGCCCAGGCGCCCCCCGGGCACCCAGCAGCCCTCATGGGCACGGCTTCCCCTCCCTCCCCCGCCTCCAGGATGTGTTCGAGATGCGCTTTGCCAAGATGCCGGACGAGCCCGAGGAGCCTGCTGCAGCCGTGTCCTCCCCGGCAGTGCCGCCTCCCACCAAGGTTGTTGCCGCGCCATCCTCCAGTGACAGCAGCAGTGACAGCTCCTCAGACAGTGACAGCTCCACCGACGACTCAGAGGAGGAGCGGGCCCAGCGGCTGGCCGAGCTGCAGGAGCAGGTGAGGGCCCCCGAGGTCGGGGGCAGCCCACTGGGGGCAGGGGTGTGCACGGGGTCCTGGGCTTCGCGTGCCAGCTGGCCCCCTTGTGCCTAGTCAGTGCATGTTCATACTTACACGTACATTGTGGGTATGGACGTGGGCTGACATGGCCGTTCTCTTGGCAGAAGTCAGGTTCTGGAACTTTCTGGTGTCTGGAAGGAGGTGGTTGAGCCAGTTTGTCCATCTCCTGGGGCTTCCTGGATGCTCCTCTCCCTGCAACTTGGCCTTTAGAGCCCATACGTGTCTATACACTCTTGCCCTGCCGCTTTAGGGACCCTCTTCCTGGGACCAGTGATGGTCATGGGGCTTCAGTGTCAGCTTCTCTGACAGGGAAGACACTGGTCTGCCCTGGGGTTCAAGGGTCTGGGTGGGCCTGGGCCCTGTGGATATCTGGTGAGACGGCAGGTCATGACAAGAGTGTGTCTTGCTTGTCTGCACCATAGCTCAAAGCCGTGCACGAGCAGCTTGCAGCGCTTTCACAGCCCCAGCAGAACAAACCAAAGAAAAAGGAGAAAGACAAAAAGGAAAAGAAAAAAGAAAAGCACAAAAAGAAAGAGGAAGTGGAGGAGAATAAGAAAAGCAAAGCCAAGGAACTTCCTCCCAAAAAGACCAAGAAAAATAACAGCAGTAACAGCAGCACGAGGTCTGTGGCCGCCCCCGCTTGACAAATGCCCCCTCTCTGGGACGGGCCTCGGAGGGAGGATGGTAGGGCGTGGTGGGTAGCGAGACGCCCCCAGCTCACCGATTTTGGTCTCAACCTCAGCTGCGCTCTCACAGAAAGGTGTTGCCAGTGTCCCCTGTCCCCTGTGAAGACCACTGGGAGGGGTTGTAGAAGCCTCCCCAAGCCCTAAATGAAGGGATGGGTGCCCCCTTTCTGCAGGGACCCATTCCTAATGGTATCTGCATCACCCCTTCGCAGCAAGAAGGAGCCAGCACCCTTGAAGAGCAAGCCCCCTCCCGCATATGAGTCGGAGGAAGAGGACAAGTGCAAGCCCATGTCATACGAGGAGAAGCGGCAGCTGAGCCTGGACATCAACAAGCTGCCTGGCGAGAAGCTGGGCCGCGTGGTGCACATCATTCAGTCACGGGAGCCCTCCCTCAAGAACTCCAACCCCGACGAGATCGAGATCGACTTCGAGACCCTGAAGCCATCCACCCTGCGTGAGCTGGAGCGCTATGTCACCTCCTGCTTGCGGAAGAAGAGGAAACCTCAAGGTGCCCTTCGGCCCTCTGGGGTGGGGCTGGGGGTTCCTGGTCCTGGTGAGGGAGAGGGCTGGCAGGTGGGGCCAGGTGCTGCCCGTGCACCCCTATTAGCGAGGCCCCATTGGCACCTTTAGTTAACTTGACCTTCCAATCCCAGCCCTCTCCCTCTGCAGGCTGTTTAAATTTCCAATTATGAAGTCTGTGTCCTCGACGTGGAAGCCTCTGGAGGGTTGTGACATCAATCTCGACCCTGGACTGTGGGGCACCTTTCTTGACCTCTCTGGCAGATTGCCCTCGGGGTCCTAAGCCTTGCTCTAACCATCAGCAGTCTTCATCCCCAGTTGCTGCCTCTGAGTCTTCCCCAAAAGGCACTGCCCGCGCCCCCCCCCCCCCCCCCGGCCTTTTTGGGGTGGGGGACATGGCTAGGAGGAAAGCATTAGATTGGCACTGCGCCTGCCTGCTGTCTTCTCTAGTTCCTTGTGACCTGCTCTGCAAGTCTTCCAAGTAGCTCTTTGGTGTTATCAGTGCCTTGTCTTGGCTCATAGTTCTGTCTCAGGACCCGCAGGGTTTAGGATTCTGAGTCAGGGCCTTGCACACAGCCTTCATCCCAGCCCAGACTAACGTGGGGTCCCTGGCACCCCTCCCCTCTGTTCAGGGTGGCACACAGTGACACCCGCCTCCCTCTGCACACCAAGGTGCTGGGAGGGCCCCTGGGGCCCGCCTTCGTCTCGCTTTGTCTCGGATTGTCACGTCCCCTTAGGCCCTCTCCCCACTGCCAGAGAAGTAGCTGAGGGAGCATACTCCAGCAGTCCCTGGTGAGGGAGTTCCCTCCTGCCCTGGTCTCCCAGTCCTCAGTGAACTCTGAGCGGGTGTTTGGAGAGATTGAAGGGGCCTTGAAAGTTGAGTATAAGCCAGGATTTTGGCTGTTGTGCGTGGTAGGCTAGCTGCGCCCTTGGGAAGTGTGTGTAGGGCCGGGGTCTGGAAGGACAGCAGCCGGGCTTTGGGAGCAGCTCTCTGGCTCATGGGGCCCTGGGCCCTGCCTGACTCTTGTCCCCGTTGCTTTATTGCAGCTGAGAAAGTTGATGTGATCGCTGGCTCCTCCAAGATGAAGGGCTTCTCGTCCTCAGAGTCGGAGAGCACCAGCGAGTCCAGCTCCTCTGACAGTGAAGACTCTGAAACAGGTTAGGTGTCTCTGATGTAGTCTTACTGCACTTCTGCCTGTGTTCCGCCCTTTGTCCAGGCTACCAGGGAGCAGAGACGGCAGTCATAAGAGCCTGCGGGGCCCTCCCATCTGTCCATCTTCCTGGTCACCATGCTGACCTGTACCTCGGGTGGTGGGTATCCCAGCACCTACCTCCACCCCACCCCTGACCTGGGCTGGTGGAGGAGACAAGTGGCCAGTGGTGTTGACCCTGCAGAGCCCTGGGAAAGGAGGAAAGGGGGTAGATGATGGAACTGATCTTGGCGTGACCCTGCCCCGCCTCAGAGTCCCCCAGCAGCACCGTTGCCTGCAACTCGGCCCTTTCAGGTGACGTGCTTCAGCAGGTGTGGAGCAGCCTGCTTTTGGCCCCGCTGTTCTCGGGGCTTAGAGCACTGCCGTCCTCCCCGGAGTTTGCTCACTGCTGCATTGGCTGCTCCTAACTGCACGCACTTGGACATGCGTGTCCTGTACCTCTAACAGTTCCTTCTCTCCAGTGCTCCACGGGCGTGCACGTGTGCCCCCTGGTGCGGCTGAGCAGCAGCCTTGACGTGGGAGGCGGGGGCAGGTGGAGATGCCTAGAGCTGTGCTGGTGGTGGGGCAGGGGACCTTTCCTCCAGACACAAGCATTTCTGGTTATTCTCAGGGGAGCTGATGCTCAGATTGGCCCAGAGGAGAGGCTGGGAAGAAGCCTGGTGACTAGGCTGCTCTGTGAGGTGGAGCTGACTTTCTGTTTCTGAGTGAATAGGGTTGGTGGTGGGCAGGCAGGTGTCTTCATCGGCTGAGTCGACAGTCTGCAGACCACCCACAAGCCTGCCTTGGGCCCGTCCCTCCAGGCAGGCTGCAGTGTGCACATCCACAGCGGGCAGCAGGACTCCTGGCGTATTCTTCCGTGTACCTAACCCTGTCTCTGATACTTCACTGTGACTGGGAGTAAACGACACGCTCCCCTTAGTTCTCATAGATAGATAATGTGATCTAGTGTGCCGAGGAGGTGTGAGGATTATCTGCAGCAGTTGAAAAGAGTGGTGCTGCAGTGAGATGTGTGGGTCCTGTGGGGCAGGGGGTTCCTGGACCTTGTCACTGTTCTTTTCCCCTTGTAAGGACACCAGGTTTCCCAGGGGAGGGGGAGGGGGAAGGGAGCCTTCTCTAGGACATCAGTGCTCTGGTCTAGCTCATTTTCAGTGGGCCCAGGTGATGTGAAATCCATTGAGGATGTTCTGTATTTATTGAGCTCCTGTGGTATGCAGAGACTGCTGTGGGTAGTTTGCTGGTCACCTCTCTATCCTTTACCCTTTTTTCTTTCTTCCTGACCAGCTCCCCCTTCCAGTGCATTTTTAGAATCTGCTGGCCAGTAGGGGGCACCACACCCCATGCTTGCTGAGGCAGAGTGGGGCCTCAGGCCAGGGCCCAGCGCCCTCCGCTGGGTGAATGGCTGTATTCTTGGGCTTAATTAGCATTCCAGGTGGCTGCTGACTTCTCAATCTCAGTTCCAGCCAAACCACAGGTTTGCCTTTGCTTCTGAGGTTTTATACCTCCTGTGTTTTCTAGCAGGCTTCTCCTACTAGGGGTTTTGCAGCCTTTTCTCATAAGAATCTGAGCTACCAAAGAAAACCCGAGATTGAAACTGGCAGAGGACCTGATGGCTAAAACAGCACGACCGGGCCCCACCCAACGTGGCACCTTAGGGTGTCATGACCATCATAACCCGGTGTCCCAGTCGTTAATCCATGACCGTGGCCTTTGTCCCTGACTCCTGAGTGCCTTACACCCCTCCTGCTGCCGCCTCCTGTGGAGTAACCATGACGGCATTTCCAGCAGCTCTCTGCTGCTGCCGAGATTTTTTTTTTTTTTTCTTCACATTTTTCCTCCTTTAAAGAAAGTGGAAAGATTGTGCAACAAGTAATCTGAGAGTCCTGGGAACAGCTGTCCTGGCGGGAAGGAGGGCGAGATTTACAGTCTCGGAGCCGCCAGCCTGCAGGCTCCCAGGCTCCGGCAGTCCAGCCCTGGCGGCTCCCTTCACTGCCTCACCTCCTCCCCAGGCGCCCTCCCCACCTTGGTTTTGCGAGGCTGTCCTTTGTCTTTGTGGTTCTGGCTTTTCCTTTGCCATCTGTGTGCTCTGGAGAGCTCCGGGGGCCGACTGAGAGCTTCTGCTCTTGGGAGGGACCCACCCTGTAGGTTTGTGCCCTGCACCTCAGATGCTCCAGGTCCCAAGTGGGGGCCCATGCCCTGGTTTCAGGGGATGGGCTGTCTGCCACCACCTTCCTGCACAGGAAACTGCTTGCTTGCTGGATGGTTCCTCGTGTGGGGTCCATGGAGCTGGGTAGATTGCTGTGACTAGGTACAGGTGGTTCTGCCTTGGCAGGGGGCGGGGGTGGGGGGAACTAGGGGTATTTCTCTTGGTCTTTGGGGGCTTAACTGTTTCACCCTTCTTGTTCTTGTGTTTCCATTTGGATTAGAGCCGAAATTCCTGAAGGGCTTGTGTTTGTCATTTCTGCCAACACAGCCCCGGACGTGAATCACCAAAAGAAACTGACCAGAGGCACTAAATTGGGGCCGGGGCAGTGGCACGCGGTCTCATTTCTGGCCACTGCCCACAGACAAGGGTGCTGCCAACTGCTCAGGACAGGGCTCTGGTTATTGGGACAGGGCTACTGTTCAGGGATGCGGTGCATCCACAGACGGGTCGGGGGGGAGTCTTTCTGTCCCAGGCCACCGTGTGCACCTCCTCCCTTGAGCAGCATGCAGCACTGTTGGCCAGACCCACCATGTCTTTTGAACCCAACTGTTACCTGAGTCATAGTCTTCCATTGAGCTTTGACTGTGGTTAAACTCTGAATCTGCTTGAGGGTTTAGTATTGGGACAAAGACAGTGGTACAAGGGCCTCCCACTGCCCCTGAGCCAGCGTAAACTTTCACCCCATCCCATTGCTGATGTCTGGCTCCTCCCCAGTGCTACCCACAGGTTTTATGGGCACACAGGGCTGGCCAGTACCTCCTGTCCCTCTCAGGAGCATCCCTAGCCTGCCCTGGGATAGGAGTTCAGAGCATTCTCTTGGACTTGGTTTTGGTCTTCTAGTTGCAGAGGGAGCATGCACCAGCTATTTTAGTCTCCTGGTTTCCTTTTCCCAGGATCGGAGCATGTGGGTGTTTCTTAATAGCTCCAGGGGGAAAAGGAATGCTGTATGTTTTGGAAAGATTTGAGCTGGAAAGTGCAGACAGAGGCCGTGGGGCATTCTTCCTAGACAACCAGCCTCAGCTTCCGCGACCCTGGGTCTTGGAATGACTCAGTTCTTGTCCCATCTTGAGGCCTGCTGCTGCCCACTCCAAGGGTGTGATGCTTGCTCTTGGGGACGGGCTAAGTCCCTGGCTGGGGTGGGGGCAGGAAGAGATCTGGAGGATGGGGCTATAGCCAATCTGCCTGCAGTGCCAGGTGACCCCTCACACCCACACACATGCAGGGAGGGATTCGAGGGCTTCACGGGCGAGGGCGAGCCTTGTGGAATGTGCCTTGAATGAGAGAGCAGCCGGTGGGCGGGTTTTTCCCACACACGCACACACTTGGGGACCATGGGAGTGCAGTGTCGGTTGCATCCGTGATTCTAACAGAAGCATCTGCTCTGCTCTGTTGGTGGGAAAGAGCCCCAGCCCCTCTCCCCAGTCAAAGGAAGCTGCATTCGATTCCTGGGAAAAAAGAAAGGACAACTTTCTTCCTCAACTTTTTTTTATTTTTAATTCGTTCTCTTAACAGTATATGTCACTGGCTCCTCTTTCTTATAATTTTGTTTTGTTTCTTGGAGTTCAGAGGAATGCAGAGGCTGTTAGCTAGAGGTCTTCCACTCCAGAGCTCCTTTGTTAGGGGCATTCCCTCCTTCCAGCTGAGCCCCAAGGCAGGGTCAGCATTACCTCGCTGAGATAGGGTGCAGAAAAGCGGATCTTGGGGGGTAACAACAGAATCAGTGGGTGCCCAGTGGGCGTGGCACACCACGCAGGACTTCAGAAGTGATGCAAGGAGAGGAGGACGGGTGGGCTAATCTCTCAGCAGCAGAGCCCAGCAAAGGAGACCCCAGCACGCAGTGGGCACACATGGAGCTCGTTACTGGAAGCCATTCTGTTTAGAGGCATGAGCCAGCTCAGGCGGTTCTGGAGACATCCATGCGTGCCTGATCTGAGGCCCTTCTCAGGGGAAGGTGGGCTTGTCCCCACCCACAGCTGGCCAGGCAGGGGGTGGAGCTCCCAGTTGCGACGCTGTCTTCTCGTGCCCTGACAGCAGGCGGGGCACCGGAGGCTGGCTTGGTCTGCAGTTCTTCTGTTCTTGTGACTTGAACGGTACATTCCACACCATTTCTCTCACACTGGTTTCTCTCTCCCTCTACGTAGGTCCTGCCTAATCATTGGACACGGACTCTTAATAAAACGGTCTTCAGTTCCAGATTCCTTCCCAGCAAGCTATAGCTTAAGTCCATTTTCTTCCGTGAAAGGGACAGGACTCCATCAAGTTATGGAATTCCTCAGAGCCCTGGGCCTGTCCCCCGGGGTGGATTAGTCATGTCCAGCAGCTCACACCTAGTCCCGCCTCCGGGAAGGCTGCCTGCCTGGCCGCCCGCCCGCCCGGGCCTCCTGTGTAAAGACTGCCTGGCTGTTCTGCCCAGCCTCCCTGGTCGTCTGGGGTCCTCTGAGTGGGTGGCATCTCCCAGAGGGTGATGACAATCCCCCTGCACACACATTCATGTGGTGCTGCTCCGTGTGCAAGGCCCCATCACAAACACGTTTTCTGTCTTCACCCCTCCCTCTTTTGGGGGGACTCTGGATCCTAACTGCTTCCCTCCTGGACCTTCCGATGATGTTAGCCCAGGGAAGATCTCACTCAACTCAGCCTCAGGAAGAACACTGTAACATCTAGAGCTTCCCCAAGTGAGGAGCGAGGCTTTAGAGGCGAGGCCAGCTGGGCCCATGGCTCCTCGGGGCTGTCCCTCAGTCTACCTTCTCTGGTGACCCACGAGGCTCTATTGGCCAGAGGCTCCCACCAGCCACAGCTGACTCTCAGCCCCCCGGAGTCCTCTCTCCGTTTTCATTGTTCCCACTGTTGTCTGTTGGGCATCTTCCCAACTTCTTTGGCCTCTTCTCCTAAAGTTGCACAGGGAAAGTACCTCCTAGGCGGCAGCCTCACTCCTCCCTTCCCAGGTACATAGATGCAGACTGCAGGAGCTGCCAGGCAGGCTGGGAGTGAGGGACATCTGGGGAGATGTGGCTGTGCCTCCAGCTGACCTGACTCCTCCAGCCCACAGTCTTCGCCCCCGCTGGGCTAGGGCGACCTCGCCTCGGGATCTGGGCTAGTAGTAGCATGAAAGGGCTGGACCAGTCAGTGGTGAGGGCATTGGAGCCTTTGGGCCCTCTTCGTGCACGTGCAAGTACTCCCCTCAGTTCATCCCCCAAGAGTGATGGGAGTCACCGGGTGGGCCATATCATCCAAGCCCTCTGAGAGGCACTGGATAGGCTTTTTTTTTTTGGCTCTAAAAATAAACATCAGCCCTTTTTTGGTCATGAATCCAACATCTCAGCAGAAAACTGCCTGGCGTGAAAAGTCCCCTAAGGAATAGTGTTTGTTTTAAATGTAGTTGGTGTGTACTTCGAGGCCTGACTGTCTCCTGGCGTTTTGGGATCAGCCTCCTTCACCTGGGAGCGAGCTTGAGGAGGTGCAGTTGGCCAGCGCCTGCATGGAAGCCCTGACCCCCTCCCCAGCTCCTTGGGACCTTGGGCCCAAGCAGCTGTAACTGCCCCAGACTGGCCTTGGCCTTGGCCTTGGGTTCTGTGCTCAGCCTCCCCGGAGCCCCTCGGGCCCTGCGGTGATACTTGGGAGTTCCTCAGCTGCTCCCGGATCCTCCAGCCGGTCGGCTTCCAGTTGAGCTCATTTGCCAAACAGACTATTTTGAGCTGCCCTTTGGCCTGTTCCTGATGTGTTTCCAGTACTGCTTGGCCTGGCTTGGGTCCGGGGGCTTCATGCCCAGAGATTCCCACAGGACAGTTGGGAAGCTGCTGGCATTGTCTTTCTGGGAAGATTCTGCCGTCTTGGAACAAATGGCAGGCTAGATTCCCACGGCGTCAGCCTGTGTGCCACCCCCACCCCTTCCCACTCGTGGGCACAGAGGCTGTAGCCCCAGGCCAGCTCTTCCGTGTGATCCTTGCACTTCTCTGTTCAGGGGTCCTGTCCTTGCCCATGGTGCTTCCGTCTGACAGAGAACTCGATCGTTTGGTTCGGGCTGGCACTGGTGCCCCAGGAAGAGCAGAAGCCCGCCCACCCTTGCGGCAGCCTCCAGTGTGCGGGCGGCGGGCGGTGCCAGCCGGGCCAGAGAAGTTGCTCTCGGGAAGGGTGGGGGGCCAGGTGTCTGCTGGTGCGGAGGCTTCCAGTCGGTTCAGTTGAGGGGACTCTGCACCTCTGCCCTTGCCTTCCGTCCCATCTCCTTCCCTTGAGTTGTGGGGGAGTGGGGAGGAATCAGTGTTTTAATCAGATTTTACAAAAACGTTTTAATTCTTTGTACAATTACCATCCTATGTAAAGCTGGAATTTGTGTTGAGTTCAAGATGTTCATGGAATAAAGATCACACAGTACTTGAGGCCATCTTCATGTAACCCTCTCTAGAGAGTTTTGTGTGGGGGGTGTCTTGGGGCTGGTGTGTGGTGAAATTGTGCACTTCCTGTCTTGTCTTCCTACCACGAGGCGAGTGGTGCACATGAGCCAGATGTGACGGCCCCAGATAGACTCTGGCACCCCTTGGTCCCCGCCGCCGGCCCCTTGAGTCCTCTGGTCCTGGTGGTCTTCTGGGTGCCTCCCACCTTCTCTCCCGCCCTAGGCAAGCCCCGCCCCGCACTTCTGTGCAGCCGGGGGTGGGGGGGGGGGGTTACTCCTGGTGACCTTTCTAAGGCAGCTGATAGCCACTCCCTGGATCCTTAAGGGCCCCAGTGCAGTTTGTCCGCACTAGTTCCCCGGGTGGGCCTCTCTTGCTCATGGCTACAGGGAGGTGGTGAGAGCTCAAAGCCACTTGTCCCTCTTTTGTGTCGGAAAAAAGTGTTTCCCCACCAAGGCCATGAGATGACAGGCCACCCCAACCCCATCCAACCTTCTCCCTGCAACACAGTGTCCTATCCTGGTCATACTTAATGCACTGACCACCTTCCTACCCCAGGCCCTCCAAAGGCAGACCAGCGTGCGAGCAGCTGCCCCCAGCCTCCCTTGAACTGCAGTTTCTGTTGCTAAAATCCATGCTGGGAGAGGAGCCGGCCTGGGAGAATGCCCCGCCCTCTTCCTCCTGTGTGCCGTGCTCCAGCTTTATGCATATAGGGTCCCCTCGGCCCTGGGCTTCCAGCCTCTGTATTGTCCAGCATTCCTTCACCCTGAGGCTCCTGGACACCCAGCTTGTGGCCCAGTCCTACAAATTACAGACTGCTCCCTTTCATATGCGTGATTCAAGAGTGTCCTTTCTACCAGCTTTCATATGTGACCCGTAGAGTCCTGAGCCCTGTATCCCAGCATCTCTAGTATCTGGGGTTGGGGCTGGGCCTGCAGTTCCCGCACTCCAGGCGTCCCTAGTCACCGCCACTTGTGTAAAAACGTGTCTGTAGCCACAGAGTTTTGTGTCACTGTCTTACCTCTTGCATGGAATGGTGAGTTATGGCAGGGCACGAGGTCCCCCTCACCCCTCTACGTGGCACGCTGCACCAAGGCCATACGCCTCTCCAAAGCTTCCTTAGCACTGCCCTCCATGAAGCAGCTACCAGCAGAGCTAGCCCCACTTTGGGCAAAAAGCGTGTGTCCTCCAGCACCAGCGGCAAGAGCCAGCATCCTGGTGAGGAGCGCAGGGGAGGCCAGGCGAAGCGACGAGGTGCCTCTCAGTGACAGGAATCCCAAAGGCACCACGAGTGGGGTCCCAAGTCCCCCGTGGTGGTCGGCGGCTTCACTTCCCAGCCCTCGAGCCCTGGCCCAGCTTCCCCTCCCTGTCTCCCGCTCCAGGATGTGCACCCAGCAGTGTTTGGCGAGGGGAATCCATGGGCCAAAGTTCCTTAGCATGAAGCTCTCTCGAGTGGGGGCAGAGGGGCTCAGGCTGGCTCTGGCACACTCCTGACAGAGACGGGCAGACCCCACATGTGCCCCCACAGTGGCGGCAGCAGGCCACGGGCTCCTGAGAAGCCAGGACGCGCACTGTTTTCTCCCTGCAGCCCATGGACCCTGTCCCAACACAGGGACTTCTCTGAGGCTGGTCTCCTGAGAGGAAGAGGAGTCTGGCCAGCGGCCGCCGCCTCTGCTGGCCACGGCATTGGTGCCTCCCTCATTGGTTCCTGGGTCGTCCAGAGAGGCTGGCTGGCTGGCTGGCTGGCTTCTCTCCCTCCACAAAGTGCTCAAGCTTGTCAGCACTTCCCACTTGTCAGCACTCTCTTCACCTGCCCCATGGCTCTGTGGCCAGGGCCTTGGCCCATGCTGGCACCAGTGGTCCCTGTCACCCCAGCCCATGCATTTCTGCATCCCTTCGGACAGTGGGAAGGCACAAGTGTCAGAGGGCAGTGCAGCTGGAGGCCGCCGAGTTGTTACTTGTAGGCTGTGTGGCTGGGGCAAGCCCCTCAACTTCTCTGAGCCTTACTTTGCTAATTTCTTAAATGGACAAGATCATTTCAAGCCCCGTGGTGGTCCCAGGGCGAAGCAGGTTGGGGTGCAGATGCTCAGGTCCCCTTGGAGGCCTCTGACTCGCCAAGGGGAGATGGTTGGGCCAGGAGGTCCTTCGTAGCACAGTCCCCCATGCTTTCGGGTGTGCTCTTGTCATGGAGCTGGTGGTCTGGAGTTTGACAGGGAAGCTAGGCATGGTCCCCGCTAGGAAAAAAAGCCGCAGGCAAAATGGGTAGGTGACACCCACACACCTTTCCCTCCCTTGTGACCCCCGCCCCAGACGGAACCGGCCACCCTCCCTCCCACCGGTCACTTGGCCCTTCTCCTGAAGTCACACTGTTTTCTCTCTGCTCCGCGTGGAAGGCCCGCTCCCAGTCTTCTCCCCTAGAGCCTCACCGCCTTCTCTTTACCTCCACAGAGATGGCTCCGAAGTCCAAAAAGAAGGGGCACCCTGGGAGGGAGCAGAAGAAGGTAGGTGGTTTCGGGGGCGTCTGGGAGCAGGTGGGCAGTGGCCGCCTGCCTGTGGGGGCCCTGGCGGGGAGGCCTCCCGCGCCTCGCGCAGATGCGCGCGGCCGGCCTCACGTCAGCCTGTCCTGCCTGCCTGCAGCACCACCACCACCACCATCAGCAGATGCAGCAGGCCGCGGCCCCTGTGCCCCCGCCGTGCCCCCGCCCCCGTCCATGCCGCAGCAGGCGGCCTCTGCGATGAAGTCCTCGCCTCCGCCCTTCATCGCCGCCCAGGTGCCTGTGCTGGAGCCCCAGCTTCCAGGCAGCGTCTTCGACCCTATTGGCCACTTCACCCAGCCCATCCTGCACCTGCCGCAGCCTGAGCTGCCCCCTCACCTGCCCCAGCCTGCTGAGCACAGCACTCCGCCTCATCTCAACCAGCACTCGGTGGTGTCTCCTCCAGGTGAGCGGCCACCGCGCCCCTCGGATCTGAGCACGCTGACGGTGCCCTGAGCGGCCGGTAGAGCCCCTCTTGGCCTCAGCTGTCTGGTCGCTCAGGGGAGATTAGCCGCTCCTTGGGGCCCATTCTGGAAATGACACCAGGAGCGTGGACAGGACAGGACAGACCTTGCGTAGAGAGACAGTGCTTTGATGCAGAAGACACTGATTCAGGTCTGCTGGGCCAGGCCTCACAGTGTGAGGTGGGAAAGGATGGGACTCCTCTGCGGCTCCCAGTCAGGGGTAGGGAAGGGGGCACGAACTTTCATCCTGGAAGGGATGTGGGGATGGGGAGAGACCTGGAGCGGGGAGGAAAGTTGAGGGCACGGAGTGCAGGGCAGGATGATGCTGGTGGAGGGGGCTTGTACCTGTAGACTTCCCGGATGCCGTCCTGACTCTCGAGTTCTGGGGAAGCCAAGGAGGGTGGGGAGAGGTTGCCAGTTGGAGGGAGACAAGTCAGAGGTCAGGATGGAGGAGAAAGGCTGGGCTGGGGGCCGCACAGTGCGTGAGCCTCACCACCCGGCTCCCGTCCTTGCAGCTTTGCACAACGCGCTGCCTCAGCAGCCATCACGACCCAGTAACCGAGCTGCCGCCCTGCCCCCCAAGGCTTCCCGTCCCCCCGCTGTGTCACCCGCCCTGGCCCAGCCACCCCTCCTCCCGCAGCCCCCCATGGCTCAGCCCCCCCAAGTGCTGCTGCAGGAGGACGAAGAGCCGCCTGCCCCACCCCTCACCTCCATGCAGATGCAGCTCTACCTGCAGCAGCTGCAGAAGGTGCAGCCCCCCACGCCACTACTCCCTTCCGTGAAGGTGCAGTCCCANGAGCAATGATACTTGATGTTTTAATCAGATGTAGCCTGATTAAAAGGTAAACGCGCTAAAAGGTAGCACACAACTTACCGGGAAGCCACCTGTGTCTTCTGCTCCCAGCCTCTAGCCTCATGTCGACTGCCCATTTTCAGTCAGCAGCATTGGGCAGGCCAAGCTCTCCTGCCTTCCCTGAGTACTTGTTTTCTAGGTGTCTCTGACCAAAACACTCTGGCAGTGTTCTTGTTGATGTCTCGTGCTGTGGTGACATGTGAGGGTCAGAGCTGAGGGTCCTGGGCTTGGCACATAGACTGTGCGGCCTGGCTTGAGGGGCGCTGTGGGTGCTGCTGACAAATTGAGTAAAGCTGTTGGCTTTAGGCTGTGACTATTCCTAAACCCGGTAAAAGCTGCCAGGTGCCAGTCGGCTCGCAGTGCATCCTGAGCTGAGAGCAGCTGGCCATCCTTTCCAGGGAAGAGCAGTAGTGGTCCCAGCAGTTTGCAAAAGTCTGGAGGTTTCCTCGAGCCTGAGTCCAGGGGTGGGCTGGTGATGAGGTACCTTTGAAAGAGTCGGCATCTCGGGCGGGGCAAGTTCCCTCTGGCTACCTGTGCTTACAGGCCCTAGGCCCATTTCCGCCTGAGTTCTGTGGCCTGGAATGGGTCACAGGGAGTGATGTGTGTTGGAGTCCAGCTGGGGGCTTCGGGTCAAAGGCCAAGTTTTTGGAGTCCAAGGAGGCTTGGCAGGTGTCCCTGGGAAGGCCAGCTTGCAAGCGCTGCCCCAGGCTGCCAGGCTCCACTTTATGTGCTGCTGGGGGAGCCACCAGGAGGCAGGAGATGCCTCCATGTCACAGGCCTGGGAGCCATCATCTAGGTCCGCCTCAGAAGGGGCTCCCAAGGGAGCGACCCGCATGGGGGGCTTGTTGTAGCTGTGTGTTTGGGGATTTCTGGCAGGCCTGGGCCAAGGCTGCCTGGGTTCCCCCAGTGTTGGCTTGGATGAAGGTGGGTGCGCCAGCCCACTTTCTGCAAGAGCCACATGTCCATTGCTTGTTCTGCTGTGGTGTAGGCCAGTCCCAGCCTTCTCCCCACTGTGTGGGCCTTGCAGGTTGAGTTGTGTTGGGGAGGTTCCTGGGCGTCCGGCCTTAGACCCAAAGCAACTGTCCAAGCAGACTGGCCCAGTCACATGGGACAGCTCAGCACCCAGGCTGCCTGCTCTGTGGGATTATTGACATCCCCCGTATTTGACCCAGGTCATACCATGGGACCACCTGAAGAATTATAAAAAGGGCTTAAGTCCAGACCCCACCTAGGCCCAAATGTATCTGTATGAACGCTGTTTTTCCTGACACACAGTGGTATCAGACAACCAGGACTGAGCTCATGGCTCCTTAGAGCCCTGTTCTACAGTGAGTACAGTGAACACAGTGGGCTCAGCTGGTGAAGAATCCACCGGCAATGCAAGAGACCCTTGTTCGATTCCCGGGTTGGGAAGTTCCCCTGGAGAAGGAATTTACCCATTCAGTATTCTTGGTTGGAGAATTCTCATGGACAGAGGAGCTTGGTGGGCTGTAGTCCGTGGGGTAGCAGAGTCAGACACAGCTGAGCCGCTGAGAGCAGTGCAGTGAGCAGAGAGCCCGGATGCCAGGGGCTGAGCCGTTGGAGGGCTTCCCTGGCTGGGATCAGGGCATGTGGCCTCCACACCAGACTGGCTGATAAACTCCTTGTTCCTTCTCTTAGGTCACCTCCGTGAAGCCCCCTCCCCGCTTATGATACATTCCCCCCAGATGCCACAGTTCCAGAGCCTGACCCACCAGTCGCCACCCCAGCAAAATGTCCAGCCTAAGAAGCAGGTAAGGGGCAGGGCTAGGCATCAGCCCCCAGGGGTGGGGGCGAGCGGGACCAGAGGTAGCTGTCTGCCTCACCGGCTGCCATGCCTGTGCTGTCCCAGGAGCTCCGCGCGGCCTCCGTGGTCCAGCCCCAGCCCCTGGTGGTGGTGAAGGAGGAGAAGATCCACTCACCCATCATCCGCAGTGAGCCCTTCAGCCCCTCACTGCGGCCGGAGCCCCCCAAGCACCCGGAGAGCATCAAGGCCCCCGTCCACTTGCCCCAGCGTGAGTGCCCTCCCCAGCCCCGGCAGAGGTGGAGGGCCTCCGGCCTGCACTGGGCGTGAGCTTTCTGCGGGCCGGTCAGCCGTGCCCTACTGAGGTGGGCAGGGCCGAGGCCCATGGGCTGTTTGTGTTCCAGGGCCTGAGATGAAGCCTGTGGATGTCGGGAGGCCTGTCATTCGGCCCCCTGAGCAGAATGCACCCCCACCAGGGGCCCCAGACAAGGACAAACAGAAACAGGAGCCGAAGACGCCAGTTGCACCCAAAAAGGTAGGAGTGGTTGGACCCAGGAATGCCCTTCACTCCCACCCCACCCAGGGCACCCAGGGAGGTGCCTTGGTGGGTGCGTCCTCAGACTCTGGGCCTCTCAAGGAGCCCAGGCACAGCAGAGTCCCTCACCAGTCTCATGGTCTCTCTGCCTCACAGGACCTAAAGATCAAGAACATGGGCTCCTGGGCGAGCCTGGTGCAGAAGCATCCCACCACCCCGTCCTCCACAGCCAAGTCCTCAAGTGACAGCTTTGAGCAGTTCCGCCGTGCCGCCCGGGAGAAGGAGGAGCGCGAGAAGGCCTTGAAGGCGCAGGCTGAGCACGCAGAGAAGGAGAAGGAGCGGCTGCGGCAGGAGCGCATGAGGTGGATGTGGGATCTGGGTGGGGCATGGGGCTCCCTGGACTCAAAGCCGTCCCCATGTGGACGCTGACCCGGAGCCCTGCCCTGCTCAGGAGCCGGGAGGATGAGGATGCTCTGGAGCAGGCCCGGCGAGCCCATGAGGAGGCACGGCGGCGCCAGGAGCAGCAGCAGCAGCGCCAGGAGCAGCAGCAGCAGCAGCAACAGGCAGCTGCCGTAGCTGCCGCCACCGCCCCCCAGGCCCGGAGCTCCCAGCCCCAGTCCATGCTGGACCAGCAGAGAGAGCTGGCCCGGAAGCAGGAGCAGGAGCGAAGGCGCCGGGAAGCGGTGAGCCGGGGGGCTCTGCTGGGCACCGCTGGGAAGAGAGCCACCCCTGGGGGAGTTGAGAAAGGGGTCCCTGAGGTCCAGGAGGTGGCAGGGTGCAAGCAGAGAGCCACTGGGCAGGAACTCAGGGCCAAGCTCTCCTTGTTTGCTGTGCTGGCCTCTGAGCCTCCGGGGTGCTCAGGCCTCATTCGGGAAGTGCTGCACTGTGGGCTTGTGGGGAGAGTGATTGCTGGAGGGAGGGCTGAGGTTCTGGGAGCCACGGCAAGAGCAGGGCACCGAATTTCACTTCCTTCCACCCTCCTCTCTCCTCCAGATGGCAGCTACTATTGACATGAATTTCCAGAGTGATCTGTTGTCGATATTTGAAGAAAATCTTTTCTGAGAGCACCTGGGTGACTTCTGACTTTGATTTCCTGGCAAAACATTGACTCTCCATAGTGTTAGGGGCAGCAGTGGAGGCAGTAGCAGCGGCGAGGGGGTGTTTCCAGGCCTGGCTCTCCTGCATGCTATGCCTGGGGCAGGCCTGATGGGCAGCTGAGGATCGCAGAGCCTGTCTGCCTTATAGCCAGCCGGACGTCCTGCCACCCCCACAGGACGTCGGCACAGGGCACACGTCGCCATGAGCAAGTGCTGGCTAGACCCAAGCCCCGAGTCCCCGCGTGTGGGGCAGAGGCCCTTCTCTCTGCCAAATGTCTACACAGTATACACAGGACATCGTTGCTGCCGCCACCGTGACTGGTTTACTGTCCCCAAGAGCGTGACGTTCGTGACGTCCTGCCCGCCGGGAGTCCTTTCCCACACCCCAGCTGCCGCTGCCCACACCCAGGAGACCAGGGCAGGTTTGCAAGAGCTGGAGGTGGCAAGGGCGCTGGCCCACCCCCTTGCTGGCACTGACTTTGCCTTGAACAGACCCCACCCCTCCCTTCCCCTCCCCCCACAAGCCTTTAATTGAGAGCCGCTCTCTGTAAGTGTTCGCTTGTGCAAAAGGGAATAGTGCCGTGGAGGTGTGTGTGTGTCCATGGCAATCTGGAGCGAGGTGACTGTCACACGTGTGTGTGTGGGCCGGCCTCGCCTGGCGAGTGAGGCCACCAACCAAAGTCAGTTCCTTCCCACCTGTGTTTCTGGTTTTGTTTTGTTTTGTTTTTTCTATATATATATTTTTTGTTGGATTCTATTTTATTTTTAATTCTCTCTTCTCCTCCAGACACAATGGCACTGCTTATCTCTGAAATGGTGTGATCGTCTCCTCATTGAGCGGCGGCTGCCACCGCGCTGTGGGTAGTGTGTGACCGTGGCTGTACTGTGTAGTGAAACATAGTTGGCATATCTTTGTTTGAAGTTTGTTGGTGACTCCACCAAACTGGTGTAAAAAAACTCAAAAAAAAAACAAAACAAAACCCACACACACACAAAAAAACAAAACATACAAAACACAAAAAAAACTGCCTATATTTTACTGTTTCAAACTTTACTAGTCTATTTTTAATTATAAAACCAGAAAACTGCGTTTTCTTATCCTTTTTTCCTCCCCCCGTTTGTTGGCTTCTTCTTTTTATTTTTAACATAAAATCTGTGTTGTTGTTTTTGTTTTGTTTTGTTTTGTTTTTGAGGGTTTTTTTTTTTGTTTTTTTTTTTTTTAACCAGGAGAGGAAGGGCCAGGGGGTGAGGCGGGCACAAGGGGCCATAGGCCACAGACTGAGGCAGACTCCCTGTCCGGCACTTGGCCCTACCAACCGGCTGCCCCTTCCTGACTTTTTTTTTTAATTTTATAATTGGAGCCCTTGGTGAGGTTACACGTGCCATGAGAACCCACTCTACACCATGACGCTGGCGCCTCAGTGTTGGCCAAACTCTGGAGTCATTGACTGGTGTGACTTTCATACGGTGAATATGCATTTGGTCTGTACTGATCATGGAATAAACACATCTCTCTTTTTTAATGCTGGCGTCTCCCTGATATTTCTTTGTGAACCACCTGTTGTTGCCTAGGCTAGGTCTGCCTGCCCCCCCCCGACACACACACACACACACACACACCACCTCGGTACAAGAACTACCACCTGGGACCACCTGGCCTGTCCCTGGGCAGGAGCTGCCCCCTCTAGGCTGAAGCTGTAACTGGGAGCCCAGGCATCCCTCCCTGTGGACTTGAAGTTGGTGACATGCTCCAGCAGAACCTGGCCAAACTCCAGACAGTATTCTTCCCCTTTGCCCTTCCTCCATCCTGATCTCCCACTCACCCAAAGGACTTGAGCCACGTCTCCCACCTTGCCTGCCTCAGCCGAACTCCTCCTTTCATTTAAGCTCAGGGTTAACCAGATACTTAAATAATGTACATCCCCCCAGATAGGCTCCTCACCCCCACTCCACCCCTAAGCCTGCCGGGTGGTGGACACCCTGCAGGGCCTGCCTGTGCACCCATCTGCACACACATGCCCCAGCCACAGGGCAAGGGCAGTACTCAAGAGCAGCCCCCAGGATGTAAGATGGAACGTTTATCAGTTACACGTATGGAAAGACACAAAGTGAAACATTTCCAGCACTGTTTATTAACCCACATTCTCCTTTTTTTCAAGCAGAAAGGCCCTGTATCTTGGGTTTGGGATCTGCCAAACATCCCAACTGATGGTATATTGTAGTTCAGGCATTCAGCCAGAGACCTGCCCCACTCCTGCTCCACACTCCTCCCCACCCTCTTCCCCTCCCACAGCACTTCCTTATAAACAAACCACTGTGCTGGTTCAAGTGTGACTTATATTTTGGTTCCATGGGGTTTCTTCTCATCCTACTCCCTCATTTTTTGTTCCGTGTTTTGTTCAGAAACTTCCCCAGGCCAAGTCTGTTTAGCTGGAGAAACGGTTATGTCTGCACCTTCCTTCTAAAGATTTAACTCTGCCATGGCCCTCTCCACACCTCCTTGAAGGGTGTTTCTCTGACTGGGTTGTAATTAGAACTTGGATCTACTATTTAATTTCTCTGGCCATTTCCCAATCCCTCCCACAGTACTAGAAATCTTAGTTCTATACAAGAGTAAGAGGTGTGTAAGAGCCCATACTGTACTGTATGCACGGATCGCTTGGCCAATAATTATGTCAGTGAATCTGAGACTTGTATTAAACACTTTAGACATTTGTAGAAGGGAATTCGTAGACTTTTCACTTATATACTAAAAGGTTTTTTTTTTTTTTTGTGCAGTTCTCATTGCAAAAATAAACATTTGTACTGAATATAAAATTATCATCCTGTGACTCCTGCTGTCTTTTTAAGGGTAGAGCTTGGGAATGGGTGTGGGTAGGGGGAATGTAGGAGTCAGTGTTCTGCAACAGCAGAAGAAGGGAGATCCACAAACACCCCCCAGCCATGGCTGGTGTATGCAGCAGCCAGGTTAGAGGCTTCAGAAGGAGGGATTCCTGGATCAAGTGGTTGGAAAATTGATTTGATGGAAAATGTAAGTGAAACCAAAGCCATGATAGAGGTTAACTGTGCAAGAAAAGGTAGGTGATAAACGCAAGGTGAACAAATATTTGTATAATACACGCAACGTAATCATAGATCTCTGTTGGGCTCTGAGATGAATTGTTTACTGAAACAGAACCACATAAACCATGATTTCCCTTTAAATAGGCACCTTTTTGGTAGTATCACCAAGAAAAACAAGGAATGGTCCTATCTGAACACTGAATGACCTTAAGTATAGAAGGAAAAAACTAGGTGTATAAAATGTTTTCCATGAGAAACCAAGAAACTACACTGGTTTGACAGTGGCATACACATCCCCACAGTTCCAAAGTGCCTGTTCACTTGCCTACACCATCCCCAGCCCTTCTGTACTGGCTGCTGTTTTAAAGTTTGCCCTTCCTTCCCTAAATTTGGATTTTTATTACAGATCTAAAGCTCTTTCGATTTTATAGTGATTGAATCACTACTGCAGTATTTGATTAAAAAGATAAATAGGGACCTATGAACCTAATATGGTCCCAGGACAAGTACAATGTTGAGCAGCTTTGACAATACAAAAGCAAAGTTAACTGGTAGATGTAAGTGAAGATTTGGTGATGATGTTCGGTAGCTAAGCCGTGTCCAACTCTTGTGACCCCGGGACTGTAGCCCACCAGGTTCCTCTGCCCATGGGATTTCCCAGCAAGAACACTGGTGTAGGTTGCCCTTTCCTTCTCCAGGGGAATCTTACGACCCAAGGGTCAAACCTGCATCTCCTGCGTTGGCAGGTGGATTTTACCACTAAGTCACCACGAAAGCCCTTGTAAGGGAGGATGAGAGGTGACAAAATGGGGTAAAGTTAGAGGAAACCAGTAGGAAAACTATAAACATGGATACGGCTCCTGCAGTGGTGGTGACAATGACAGTCAATGCCCCAAATTGGTAATCAAAAGATAAAACCACATAAACACATTTAGAGATAGCTATTAATAAATATCGAAAATCATCCCAAAGACTGCCTCTGGTTGGAGGAAGAGGTGGAACCTAAGACTGAGATTTTTCTCAAGTCCTTGATTGCTGTTGACTCAGCTGTTAGGCTTCAGGCAAATGACTTAATACTAGAATTTCAGGCTCTTGGTTTATAATGCAGGAAGGTGATAGTATCTACACTTAATAGGATTATTATCAGGGTTAAATAATGAGTAACTTTGAAATGTTTAGAATCTTGGGAGGAAGATTGCAAAACTGGAGGAGGAAGAAGCTACCCTCCCGGGCTTCTCGTCCAACCCTACTTCTGTTTCCTCTTTTGACCAGAGCCCCAGTGACTCGACCAGTCCGGTTCTCTAGCGCCCGGGCCGGGCCTGCCCTCTAGGCGTTAAGCTCCGGTCACCACTGGCTGAGTCCCGGTCTCAGCAATTGCGGATTGGCTCCGGGGCTACCTGTAGCCTGCACGTCAATAACGGTCGCTACCCAATCACAGGCGTGCAGGGGCGGGCCAACGGATCCGCTGGACCAACTGGAGCCGGCGCGGGGTCTGCGCCGCTGGACCACCGTTGGAACCAGAGCTTAGTGTAGGTGCTGCTAGGTCTCTCGGAGGCAGACCGAGGGGAGGGTCGCGCGCTCCAGGGAGGGGAACTCCTGGGAGATGAGGGTAGCGGCAGAAGCTTCCGAGGCCTCCTTGGGCCGCGGCGACAACCCGCTATTCCCTCCTAACCTTCGCCAAGGCACTACCTATCCCCCTTCTTCCGCTTCCGACCCCGCCCCTCCCGCCTCATTGGCCCGTAACCAGGCCGACTCCCAGCTCATTGGTCCATCCCTCTCACCGAAACCATCCAGACCCTTCCTCGGGCCTTCTCCGCCCAACTGAGGTCCCGCCTTCTCCAGGCTCCATCCTCATTCCCAGCCTCCTAAGCCGCGCCCCTATCCCATATAACGCTCTTAGGCCTAGTTGGGGCCCACCTTTCCAGCTAGTAGGCCGCACTTACTCTGCATTGCTCCGCCCCTTTGCCCCAGACCCCGCCCATTTCACCCACAACGCCTCCTGTCTTCGGTTCATGCAGGACCCCAGTCTCCCTCTAGATTTTAGATCCCGATCACCCAGCCAACTCCGGCGTCCTACTAGACCCCTGCCCCTTAAGACTCGCCTAAGCCTTTATAGATCCCTCCCACAGCCCGAGCCTTTAGCATCCCTTCTACCCAAGGCTCCACCCCAACCACCTGAGTCTGGTCCTCGCAGCCTCCTCCCCCGCACCTCGAGCCTTGCTCCCGGCCACTGTCGCGCCCAGGTGTTTATCTAACAGTTGAATTGTAAGCCATGGCAGTTTCGGTCTGAGCCGCCCAGCTCTTCTCTCGGTGCGTTCGGCAAACGACGATACGGAGGGGCTCCAGACCAAAGGCGGCGGGCTCGCCAGCCCAAATTCCGTCTCGCTGCTGCAGCCCGCGCCCCCCGCCCATACCCCAGACGGCAACGCGGTAGTCCCGGGACGCGGCGACATGCCCGAGCTGGTGGTGACGGCGCTACTGGCGCCCTCGCGCCTCACTCTGAAGCTGCTTCGTGCCTTTATGTGGAGCCTCGTGTTCTCTGCGGCGCTGGTGGCTGCAGCTGTCTATGGCTGCATCGCGCTCACGCACGTGATGTGCCGGCCGCGACGCGGCTTTTGCGGGCGCCCCCGGCACACCCCACCGGTCTGCTTGACCGACCCCACGCTGGGAGAGCACTGCTTCCTGATTCTTAGGGTGAGCATGTTGGGGGGAGGGGGGGCAGGAGGGAGCGCCGTCACCGGGCTTTCGAGGGTCAAGGATCCTGGAAGGCCGGCTCGGGTTGGACCGGTGCGGAGTGGCAAATGGTTAAATCTGATTCTTAGGGTGAGCATGTTGGGGGGAGGGGGGGCAGGAGGGAGCGCCGTCACCGGGCTTTCGAGGGTCAAGGATCCTGGAAGGCCGGCTCGTGTTGGACCGGTGCGGAGTGGCAAATGGTTAAATCTAAGTCTGAGTACGCATGTGACCTGGGAGAAGGGAGGTGTTCAGGCCCGGGGAAGAGAGGTTTCCCGGGTCTCAGACGTTGCCCTCCTCCAGAGCTCGGGCCTGCGCTTGCACTATGTCTCTGCTGGACGCGGCAAAGGGCCTCTCATGCTGTTTCTGCATGGCTTCCCTGAGAACTGGTATGTCGGAGGCCCAGGGTCCTGAGCCTCACGGGACCGGATGCGGGAGGGGGTGGGGTGGGGCGGGAGATGTGGAGCTTGGACCACTAGAGCACTGAGGAGGCGGAGACAGGGCTGGGTAAACTGGGAGCCCCTAAGGCAAAGTTAATCAGGCCTAGATGGGGTGCTGGAGGACAGGGGTCCACACGGAGATAGATGGAGACAGGAGGTCCTGAAGGGATAGAATGCAGAAATATCCATGTTGAGGCTGCCCAGAATCCAGGGTGCAGATGACCTGCTGTGGTTCCCCATCCTCCCTTCTGGGAAGTCCTGAGCAGGAAAGTGGGGGTCACCCCAGGGTCCCTGCTGGGCGTCATGCAGAGGTGCTGCCCTGGTACCCTGACTCAGCCTCCCTCCCTGGCCCGCCTAACAGGTTCTCCTGGCGCCACCAGCTCCGGGAGTTTCAGAGCCGCTTCCACGTGGTGGCTGTGGACCTGCGGGGATACGGCTCCTCCGATGCACCAAAGGATGTGGATTGTTACACCATCGACCTGCTGATGGCAGATATCCAGGATGTCATTCTGGGCCTGGGTAGGGAGGTGCCCCCATCCCAGCCCTAGCCCCCCTCACCCCTGCCTCACCTCTACCTGACATCTGCCTTACACAGTTTCCTCTGACCTCCCCGCCAGGTTATTCCAAGTGTATTCTCGTGGGCCATGACTGGGGTGCACTCCTAGCCTGGAATTTCTCCATCTACTACCCATCCCTGGTGGAGCGAATGGTAGTGGTCAGTGCTGCCCCCATGTCAGTGTACCAAGGTGTGTCGGGGAGTCCTGGATGCTGGAGTGCGCTTGTGTGAAGGGGTGTGTGTGTCTGTGTCAGCACCTCTCTGTCCACCTCCAGGGGCTGGGGGCACAGCGGTAAACCTGGATTCCTTCCCGCATGGTGCTCACAATCTATAATCTGTGGCAGTACACCTAGGAGTAATCCACATTTTTGTGAGCAGTTACAGGTTGCAATTGCTTTTTTCCCCCCAAGATCTACTATTTATTTATTTTATTTTTGGCTGTGCTGGGTCTTCGTTGCTGCACATGGGCTTTCTCTAGTTGCGATGGATAAGGACTACTCTTTGTTGCGTTGCACAGGCTTCTCATTGTGGTGGCTTCTCCTGTTGCAGAGCATGGGTTCTAGGTGTGTGGGCTTCAGTAGTTGTGACATGTGGGCTCAGTAGTTGTGGCTCCTAGGCTCTGGAGCACAGGCCCAATAGTTGTGGTACTTGGACTTTGTTATTCCACAGCATGTGAGATCTTCCCACATCAGGGATTGAACCCATGTCCCCTGCATTGCCGAGTGCCTTCTCAACCACTGCACCGCCCGAAAAGGCTTTGACAAGGAGCCTGCATAGAGTAACCCACACAAGCCTGCTGGGCTTATGAAAATGTTATTATCCCATGGTCCAGTTGGGGAAACAGAAGCAACTACAACAACATTTGAGGTGTCATTTCTCTGGCCACCCAGTGTCCATCACATCACCTAATTTTAAATCCCAGAATTGTAGTCAGAGCTGTATTATCTCTCACTCTTTTTTTGTTGTTGTTTCTTATCTGTCTCCGTCTCCAGCTTCCTGAGGGCATGAGAGTTTTGTCTGTTCCATTCACTGCTATATCTTCAGAGCCTAGAACAGGGCCAGTAGGTGGTCAATAAATGTTTGCTGAGTGAGGCAGGAGAAACTCATTCAGACATGGCAGGGGGAGTATGCCAGTGGCTCAGGGAGCTCCCGGGGACTGTGGAGGAAAGTGCCCCCATTCTGTGGGTACAGCGACCACTTAAGAGAGAGAGAAGCTGGTGCCCTGGCCGAGAGGACCATTGAGTGTCCCCACAGGCTCAGGCAGGCAGCTGTGACATTCCTGAGTGTTGGCATATCTGTGTGCATGATCTGGGTATGTGTCAAGTGCAGAGGTGTGGGGCCCGCAGAAACCCAGGCCTCACCCCTGCCTTCCTCTCCCCACCCTAGACTACTCTTTGCACCACATCAGCCAGTTCTTCCGTTCCAACTACATTTTCCTGTTCCAGCTTCCCTGGCTGCCTGAGAAGCTGCTATCCATGTCTGACTTCCAGGTGCAGTAGGGTGAAGGCCCAGGGCTGGGTGGAGGGTCGTGGGTTGGGACTGAAGCCGGCGTCCTGTTGTGTGCCCAGATCCTTAAGACCACCCTCACCCACCGCAAGAGGGGCATCCCGCAGTTGACCCCCAGTGAACTTGAAGCCTTCCTTTATGACTTCTCACAGCCTGGTGGCCTCAATGGACCCCTCAACTACTATCGAAACATCTTCAGGTGAGGACCCAGGTCCTGATAAGCTCAGGAGAGTTGTGGGCTTGGGGCTAGGAGTGGGGCAGCCATCCTTCTGCCTGTCTGTCTGTCTTGATCACAGGACCTTCCCCCTGGAGCCCCAGGAGCTGGCCACACCCACACTGCTGCTATGGGGGGAGAAGGACCCCTATTTTGAGCAAGGTCTGGTAGAGGCCATCAGCAGCCGTTTTGTGCCGGGCCGGCTCGAAGCCCACATCCTGCCAGGCACGGGGCACTGGATCCCCCAGACCAATCCTGTGGAAATGCACCAATATATGTGGGCCTTCTTGCAAGACCTGCTGGACTGATGGCCCTAGCTCGCTGGCCTGCATGCACCCAGGAGTTCTCACACTGGCTTGCATGCTCCCAGGTTGTATATATACAGATGGACTCTTGATGCACATGGATGAAACTCCTAGACTGCACACAAGTGCTTCTGTGGTTACCCTCAGCCACACCACCCTCATATGCTCCCATACAGGCAGGCATGTGTGCACTTGTGAGCAAGCACTTTGACCCCAGGGAACCAGGTATGCCTCTCTGTGGAGCTAGATACTGAGCGTCCTACTTCTCCTCTCCATGAGACCCCACCCATCTTGCCAAAGTCAAAGCCCAGAGCTGTGTTGACCGTGAACTATGACCTTTCTGTCCCTGGCTTCCACCGCCAGCCTGGAGTCCTCAGGTATATGCTGCTCTGTCCAATACAGTACTTGTAGCCACGTCTGGCTACTTCCATTTAAATGCAAGTTAATTAAAATTAAATACGATGAAAAATTCAGTTCCTCACTCACACTAGCCATATTGTGAGCCCATCAAGGGCTCAGTTGAAGCAACATAGAACATTCTAATGGGCAGTGCTGATGAGGGTGTTCCTAGCTTATGAACAGGGGGCCTCCCTGCCTGGCTTCTGACACCTCACTGAGGAAGGACCCTCACAGGCAGGCAGGTGGAGGTCTGGACTCCTCTCCAGCCAGGCCCTGGGTAAACGCCCATTATCTCCCTCCTGGTCATGACTCCTGGCCTTGTGAGGTCAAATTCTCCCGCCCCAGTCTGGGAAAGATCCCTGGGATCTCTGTCTCAGATCTATGGGAAAACAGCTCTTGGCTCTGTTAGGATAAGTGAGATTGTGGACTCAGCACAGGAAGGGACCAGCTCCCTGAATAGCCATCTGGGGTGTCAGGCCTGCCTCCCCAGTTCCTGGACTCTTCTGCTCCAAATTAACCAGAGTTTCTGCTGATTCTTCCTGGGGACTCCTGGCACCAGCCTCCGAGTGAAGGTCATACACGTCGAAGGTGAACCATCCAGCCCCAGGCTGGTCACAGCAGTAACTTTTATCTTCCTGGCCTTGTCCTGGCCACTGGGAGCACTGTCATGACTGGCAGCAGTGTGATGAATCAGTCTGAGGGTCTCAGAAATATTAATACCTTTCTCTTACCTCCGGGGGCTTCTCTGGTGGCTCAGATAGTAAAGAATCTGCCTGCGATCCGGAGACCCAGATTTGACCCCTGGTTGGGGAAGATCCCCTGGAGAAGGGCATGGCAACCCACTCCAGTGTTTTTGCCTGGAGAATCCCCTGGACAGAGAGCCTGGTGGGTTACAGTCTGGGGTCACAGAAGAGTTGGACATGACTGAGCAACTAACACATTTTACTTTTTCACTTTTATCTCTGGGATGGGCCTGCCTAGCCAAAGCCTGCCTGCTAGTTACCCCAGTCTGTCCTCCTTTGTCCCCTGCATAAAAATCCTTTAGCTCATGGTATGTGTCAGGAGCTGTTCTAGGCCCTGAGGATAGAGTGTATTCAAGGACACAGGCCCCATTCTGGAGTTAACAGAGAAGAGGCAGAAAGAGCAACGCGGGTGTGTGACTGGTCCCAGGAAAGGTTTTCGTTCCAGGGAGTGGGAAGCAGTAACAGGAAGGTCAGAGGCTGGGATAAGCTTGGGCTACTGGAGTAGCAGTGTGGAGATTAGTGCCTGCTAGGGCAGACCGAGGGGGCAGGCGCGCGCGAGGAAGAAGAGGCCACAGCCAGACCGCCAGGGGCTTCAAAGAGTTCAGATCTGATTCTCAAGGGGAGCCGGGGAGGGTTTTCAGCAGGGGAGGGACATGGTTTGCATTTTGAGAAGCACCCTGTGGCGGCTGAACTTCCCACGCAATAGTGAGAGCAAGGAGATAGGCCCAGAGCTGCGCACAGCCTCAGAACCAGATGGTCTGTTAGCCCTGATCTGAGCCAGGACCCCAGACCCCACCCATCTCGCCTCCCCGCCTCTACTCTTCCTCGCTGTAGTTCCCCTCTGGGGCCAGGAAGATGGACGAGAGGAAGGGGGAGCCAGGGACCTCAGCTTGGAGCTGAGATTTAGGACGAGGAAGCCTGTGTGCAGGATGAAGATGGTGTGTCGCGGGGGCGGGGTGGGGGGGTCGGGCAGGGCTGGCGGTGGGTCTGGTGACCGTTGCTAGGGTGACGGGGAAAGGGCTGATGGTTAACCGGAACGGGTCGAGGTTGTCTGGGTGACCGGAGGGGCCCAGGAGAAGGCTGACGAGAGGCCTCGAACAGTTGCCGGGGCGACGGGGTCCGCTGACGGTTGCCAGGGTAACGAGAAGGCGCCGTCTTACGCCTCCGCGACTGCTGGCGGGCGAAAGGCGGTGTGGTGGGGAGAGGGGAGAGGCGATCGCGTTGATTGGGCAGAGTCCTGACAAGTGAGCCAATAGCAACTAGAGGCTTGGCCAAAACCCGCCTCTCTCAGCCTGAGCCAATCTGGAAGCGTCTTTCTTAGAGCTGAGGAGGAGCCGACAACCGGAGGTTTAGGACTCTGGGTGAGGCCCCTCCCAGACCCCGCTCTTCCTGCTCTGGCCTCCAGTCTCCAGATCACCTTCCATCGTGTTTACTCACTTATCATCATTCATGTACATGTCCTTGCTACCAACTGTAATCCGTGGCCCCGCACCACTGGGCGGACAGGGGAGATAAAGACGGGCAGACTCTCCCAGCCCGTGTGGTCAGGCCCGAGTAGAATGAGGGCCTAGGGGCGAGGGGATGGGAGGGGCACCTACCTGGAGGAGGCGGCCTTAGAGCTGAATCCTGTAGAATGTGCTACAGTCCACGGAAACCTCCCGTGCACAGGCCATTTAGCATTTCTGTGGGACTGAGAGGAACGTTTGGGATGGGAAGACGTGGGAATGCAAAATGCTTCCACACGAGGCCAGGAGCCACATCGGGCCCGCAGGGAAGTGTCCCAGACAGATCTGCATGTCTGGAATATTGGGGGCTGGTAAGGGGGCAGGACCAGAGGGGGCCGACTGAAGGTGGGAGGCCTGGAAGGAGAATGGGTGTGGTCCAGGCAATAGAGGCTGAAGTCCGGGCATTTGAAGGATGCGTAGAATCCCAGGGAAGACCAGAAGCAGGTTTGGGGCATATTCAACCTGAGGGAGCAGGACCCCTGAGGCAGGAACCTGAAAGCATCTGATAGGTTAAAGATAAAGATAATCCAGCAAGCATCCGTGTTTGGTGAGGCAAAAGAGCACTGAAGCTGGGAGAGAGAATGAAGCCTCCCCAGAACAGAGTGGAGAACAAACAAGACTTGGGAGCCCCCAGCATCTAAGAGACAGGCAGAGCAGGAGGGGTTAGGGTTAGGCAGCAGAGGAAGTAGGCAAGGGTGATGCCCCAGAAATGGCGGGGGAGAGGTCAAGGAAGAGAGGCATACACAGCCCATGGTGTCAAAAGCCGCTGAGAGATTTGGAGCATTGAGCCATGCAGATTGTGAGGGAGGAAACCTCAGAGTTCAGTCTGAGGACAGTGGACTTGGATGCTCTGAGTGCAGTTAAGTGGAGATGGGAGGGAAGAGTGGGGACCCCAGTCGGGAGCCTGGAGGGAACAACTAGCATTCAAATGGGGCAATTTGAGACAGGTTTGCTATAGGGACCATATGCAGTGGGCAGGGTTTGGGAAAACCAACAGGAGTTTAGTGCAGCAAACCCCAGTGAGCACCCCTGAAGAACCATGACCACCTCCGGATCCCCCTGCCTGGGAACGGGGAAGGAAAGATGTTAGCAGAGCCCAGAGAGAGGTTTGTGTGTTTGTTGTTCAGCCACTCAGTCATGTCTGACTATTTGCGACCCGATGGACTGCAGCATATCTGTCTCTCTGTTCTGCACTATCTCCTGGTGTTTGCTCAGATTCATGTCCGTTGCGTTGGTGACGCTATCTAACCACCTCATCCTCTGTTGCCCCCTTGTTTCCCAGGGGACAGGGTCTTTCCCAGTATCAGGGTCTTTTCCACTGAGTCGGCTTTTCACATCAGGTGGCTACAGTATTGGAGATTCAGCTTCAGCATCAGTCCTTCCAATGAATATTCAGGATTGATTTCCTTTAGGACTGACTGGTTTGATCTCCTTGCTGCCCAAGGGACTCTCAAGACTGTTCTCCACACCACAGTTCAAAAGCATCAGTACTTCGGCACTCAGCCGTCCTTATGGACCAATTCTCACATCCATACATGACTACTGGAAAAACCATAGCTTTGACTATACAGACTTCTGTTGGCCAAATGACGTCTCTGCTCTTCAATACCTTGGATTGTGTGGATGGGACCTTTGGTCAAGCGACACAGTCAGCTGAAATGGTGACCCTACCAGGAAAGATACAGGCGAATTAATATCCTGTTTTCTCCTGCTCCCTCCCCCCTACCCCCTGCCCCACCGCTTTATCTTCTGCCAGTGCCTCCTATTGGCCAAACCCACGTGGAAGCCAGAGGACAAGGATGTCCATTGATACAGTCTGTAGAGGTCAGCCCCTTGGGGCACAGAGCAGAGTGGAGAAGGCGAAGAATGGACCAAGCAGTGGGGAGAGATGCAGGGGAGAGAGGCAAGAGCTTGGGGATGGGGTGTGCGTGTGAAATGAGCGTTTGCTGCAGGTTTCACTTTATCACAGAATCCCTGGTGGCTCAGATGGTAAAGAATTCACCTTCAATGATGAGACTCGGGAGATGCAGGTTTGATCCCTGGGTCAGGAAGATCCCCTGGAGTAGGAAATGGCAACCCACTCTAGTATCCTTGCTTGAAGAATCCCATGGACAAAGGAGCCTGGTGGGCTACAGTCCATAGGGTCTCAAGGATCCGGGTATGATTGAGCAACTAACACTAACACTTCACTTTGTCACAGAAGAGACTTCAGCCTATGGCCAAGGAAAGAGGTAATGAAAAGCCAAGGGGTGGAGGGGGGGAATGCTCTCCTTCTCTGAAGCAAGAGGAAAGGTATGTGGGTAGGGGACAAGTGCCACACCTGCAGGAAAGAAGGAAGAGAAGTTTCAGGAGCTGGGACGGCAAGGAAGTAATAAAGGGTGTCACAGTGTCTTGAGCTGTGGTAAGGAGCCTGCTTGTCAATGTAGGAGATGTAAGAGACACGGGTTTGATCCCTGAGTGGGGACGATCCCCCAGAGGAGGGCATGGCAACCCACTCCAGTATTCTTTGCCTGGAGAATCCCATGGAAAGAGGAGCCTGACGGGCTACAATCCCTAGGGTCGCACAAAGTCTTACACGACTGAAACGCACGCACGCACACAGTGTCTTAGTTCAGAGGTGAGCTGGAAGAGATGGGGTCCTGGGTGAGGCCATGGGCAAGGAAGGTTGGAGTGGTCTGACGACACATCCCATAAGGCCAAGACATCCACTGGGATGTCTGCTCAGTGGAGGGTCTTAGGGCAGGGAAACCACTGCCTGCCCATCCCCCACCAACGGTGGGAGTATGGCTTCCCTTCTTCCCCTGCCCAGAGCTGTTGAGCCAGTAG